TATTACACATAATGTCTTTTTTTTTATATTTCACAATTTTTATTTTTCTTTTACCCACTTTTTTAATTTTGTTATCTTTTTTAATCTTTTATATCAATTAATTTATTACATTGTTCTCTCCCTTACCTTTCAGTTTTTCACATTTTCTTAATCTCTCCTATCAATTTGTTTTTTTTTTAATCTTTTCAACCAATTTGATGAACACAAAGTTAATTTTTTTCTTTATCTTTCTCTAAATATTTTACATGAATCTTAGTAGTAAATATTATTATTTTATTTATAATTTATATTTATTAGATTTTATTATGTCATATTTTTTTATCTTATTATTCTTATTTATCATATATCAAATTTTATCTTAATAAAATAATTATATTTTAAAGGATTAAAAGGAATTGATAATTTAATATTTTATTACTTTGAACTAATTAAATAAAAATTAACTTATTAAATATTTCCTTATAAACTATATATTTCATATTTTTAAATGACAACTTAAAAATGAATTAACTTATATACGTAATCAAATGTTTGAATACAATAATAATATTATTATTATAAATATTCTATATATATGTAAAATAAAAAATATTTCTTTTATATACATATTTTAATATAAATATAATAAATTAAAAAATATATTTAATTAATAATAATTATAAATTATAAAATTATAAATATTTATTTATATATGAAAAATATATAGTAAAATTAATTTATTAAAATGTAATTATCTTTTTAAAAATAATATAGATTAGGAACGGGACTGGACAGGAAAACTCGAAACAAAACAATTGACAAGAATAAAGACTTAATTTTTAACCTCGACGGAGATCGTAAACGGGATCGAGGAGGCAAAATTCTAAATAAATAAATAGATATATATTTAGAATTTATTATTGGAGTAACAAAATTAATGTGGATATGTATTAAAACACGTAAAATATATAAGTTTCATTTTAATATAGAATTTAAATAAATGAAAATAAAATAATTGAAATAATTTTAATCTTTCATAATCATTTTGTTATTTCAATTAAACTCTTCTTATTATTATTATTGTTAAAATACAATTTAATATCTTTATATAACGATAAAATATAATTTAATTATTATATTCAAAATAAAGTTAAATTATACTTTAATAATATATAAAAGTATATTTAAAAGTAAAAGTATAAATATTTTTAACAATTATTTATTTATATTAATATTGAAGATCTAACTTGAAATATATATATATATATATATATATATATATATATATATATATATATATATATATATATATATATATATATATATATATATATATATCGAAAAGACATTATTCAACCTTAACATATAGAATTCGGCACGAAGTTTCGCAGAAAAGTGATGATGGAGAGTGGTTTTATTAGATGTCAGGTTAAGTGTGATCATTGAGCGAGACAAGTCAATAATTTCTCTTTAATTATGAAAGTGAAACCCTTTCCTTTTCCAAAAGGTTCATGCGTGTGCGGTGTATGAAATATATGAACTCATCATTTACCTGGCATCCATAATCTTCTTGCTGGCTTGAGAGTTCAGTTATCCTCTTTTTTTCAACTTTTACCAAAACCAATCTCAAACCTAATCCATGTCGTGTTAAATCTCAACAACAATTCATAAAACTAATAAGTTTATCTTGTTTTAGATACCTGAAAGTGTAGGGTAAGTGGTTGCCATCATTAATATATACTTGTCTTTTGTAATAAACAATGTGAAGATACGTAGACCATACATCATGATGATTACTTATTATATTCAACGTAGGATGCAGCAGATGAAATCGTGTTAAACAATGAAAAAAATGATGAAAACCAAAGAAGTTGATGCAAAAAAGTGTTGGGTATATATGCTGCCATGTACTTACCAAACAATAAGAAGATGGAAAAATTGATTTTGTCCTCAAGAATATATCCATAAACGAACCAGCAAGATAAGAATCATTGGCACCATGTCATTGCATGTGCTATAGAAACTGGCAAACCCTATTTTCATGCATGCATGAGAATAATTGACACAAATCTGTGGCAACCACCAAGAATAAGCAAACGCCTACTTTTTTTTTAATGTGTTTCCTTATGATTTAGATCATTGCGACTGATAGCTCAGAAATTATAGCATGTGGCCACTATTAAATTCAGTATCGAAATAAATTTGTACACATGCATGTATGCACTATATATATTGGAAGAACTTGCAGTTAATTTATTTCTTGCACTACTTGTCCAAACTTATCCTGAAATATCACCTATGCTAGCATAATTTTTTTTAAGAGAAGAGACAGAGCTTTATTATCGTGATACCCCACTAGAATTTTTATAAAAAACTCTAAAAATTTTTGCACCAAAAAAATTGTAATAATTATACTTATAATATTTTCATGAACCTTTTGCGTCTGAACTTTTTTATTGTCTATTAATTTTCATGATATATATATATATATATATATATATATATATATATATATATATATATATATTTGTTTTCTCAAATAAGCAATAAAGCTTGCTTATGCTACGCTATGCATATTCAAATGGAATGGAATCCAACTCCACCAAAAGAATTATACTTCCCTTGTGCATTATGCTTATCTATTGCCACATGTTAACTTCTTCAAACTTTGTTTATGCAGAAACATTCTTGTAATCTTTCTATAATAAAATTTTGCCAATCATTGGAATGAATTCCCTCTCCCCGCTGTAGTTTTGCACAGGTTCTGTTCTAGCTCATATAAAATTCAAACACTTCAAAATGCCCTTGTCACTGTTATTATCCTCTTCTATATACGCACTCATTGCGCATAGAAGTAATTGCAATTACTAATTTCATTATAATAGCATTATCGAAGATAAGCCATATATAAAATGTAATATGCATATCCTCAAATAATTGCTACACACCATGTGAGTCGCAATATTCTATGGCTAAACTTGACACGAACTTGTTCTTGAGTGCATAGTTATTATTTTGCTAAGAATTGTTTACGATATCAAACATTGTGGATGAGGTCGAATGTTGCAAATAGAGTAATCATGATCACCATGTTTCTAAATTCAATCTTAATCGATTATTCCACCACTTTCCAGCACGAAAGCTAGGGAATGAAGGAAGAGAAAGGGGATTCCTCCCTCTTACTCCGGATTAAAGAAAAACAAAGATTCGAAAATAGAAAGAAAAAAAGAAGAAGCCAAATGATTAGTTTGATAAAAGTGTTAAACCACTTTGACATGCGTTTGCAGGTGGATGGATTATATTACCACTAATTGGCAAATCATATTTGGACAACAAATATAGATTTATGGTCGAATATTCTCCCAAATGACCATTTTTGTTATGTTGTTATTGATATGAAGTGTTATATTTTTTATCGTCATTTCACATAATGTTAATTGATTTAAAATATTTTAAAATTCTGTCCAGTAGTTGATTAACGAATGTGAATGTTGCTGTAATTATGCATGTAGCGTGGATGGATTTTAAAATTGGGTTATGCCCGACATGTGGAAGTGAGTGTGAATTAAAAAATGAGTAGGTCATAGAAAGACAGTGTGGGAAGATTTGCACTACAGTGATGAACTCAGAACTTTGTAATTTTATATCTTCATTTAGGTTTATGAGCTTCTTCTGTCTTTTCGGTATTTTGGAACCTTGAGCGAAAAATGAGCGTGCACAACAACATTTGTTGTTTCTTAGTTAATCTATGCTCTTGTAATCTTTTGCTGTAAAGTTACTCGTTTTACTACATATAGGTGCACGTTCTGTTTGTATTCAGATTAAAATTTTCAACAACAAAAGAATTTACTTACGACCAAATCAAAACCTCCACGTACTATACAAACAATGGAGGAGACTATTGTTTTTATGCATCCTTTACGTTTATGAATGGAGCAAAAGGAGTAACGGTACAAAACAACTTCTGTGCATGATTTAATGTTTTGAACTCTTTAATATTATCTCTCAGTTTGTATCTACTTCCATGGTACATTCTTAATTTATGATTGAGTGTATGAATCAACCGATGTAAAATGATTTCAACTTAGGTATATATTGGATTGCAGTCTGAAAATATACATCTTTGTCGAAATGCTGAGTTGCAGAGGAGTTACATAACTTTCTTTTAAAATTGATTAGTGGAAATTCGATTGAACAGAATACGGAGAGTTCAAATCACAGCACTATTCAAACACATTTATATCTGATTAATCGCAGGTACGTTGCACCGATATATATGTGCAATGGCAGAGACAAATGTTTTCATTAATGCTTAGCTGAGAATAGCAGTAGTTAAATAAGTTGAGTTATCCCTATGCTCAGACAGGCACATCCCCAAGAGATGAAAAAGGTTACTCAGTTCCAAACAAGTGGGTAAGATTAAAAAGTGTATGACTAAATTGGTATGAAGTTTTAAAAAGGTGTCCATATTTGTTTGTAGTATTTGGATTTTGAATGGTCTTAAAGACGTGTCATTTCCTTCTTGTCCTTAACTATATATATGTTGAGTATATTGAGAACAAGAAATATGTATGGGGAATGATATGATGAACATAACTACATACAGATACTGACGGTATTTGCTGAGTGGTTGATTGAGGCATATGGTGGTTTGTGTGAAGAGTAAAATTGAGTTGGGTTGGATTTAGTGCAAGCGTGCGGTGAGAGTGGTACGTCAAAAATCAACCCAAAAACCCACCCAGTGACCAAAAAGAGAGAGAGAGAGTGTGGAGTTTGAAAGTTGGAAGGGAAAGCACTTTACACAAAAAGTGAGCGAAAATTCTGAGACCATAAAATGGAGTGGGTCACGCGTCACTCCTCCCTAGGCGAGACAATCCCTGTGCATTATTTTTGTTTTAACAGTGCAAAACATAGATATAGAAGTGTGGTACAGTAGACAATTCTCAAAGTTTGGAGAATTTACCTAGCCTTAACTGGGGCATGTTTTTTTGAAATTTAAATTAAAGGTGAAGTAAGTGGAAATGGAAAAGGACCAGACGGGCTTAATTGACAAAAGGAAAAAGGAGATACTGCAGTGCAGGATCCCCAGTCCCCTCTCTAAACTTAACCATCCACTACCCTCTCTACCCATCGTTTCACGTACAACCTAATCACAATATTATCATACCAATCTCCCCACCTTCACACACAATTCAAATATTATGTGATTTGTTTTTTGTCTAAAGTGAAAGGAAAAAGAAAAGTTTGAGGGGGAAGGTCAAGATCCGGTTCTTCGCGGTGTGGAAGTGTGTATGTGACACAAAATAAGGCAAGCATCTTCCTCAAACCCCTTTTTTGTCGTTTTCCTTTCTCTCTGTCTCATTTCTCTATTTAATTGTTGCTGACTTTTCATGTAGTCTCACTCACTCACTCACTCACTCACTCCATCGCTTTAAAATTTAAATAATCATTTTTTCATTGTCTGTTCCATGCCAACGTGAGGCAGACAAAGATAAATAACGAACTTATGATGGGTGATTTCATATAAATGAATAAGTGAATTGAATTAAATGTAAGATTAATGAATAAGAACATGATGAGAAGTTTGGAAAAGGCTTGTGAGCTTGGCATTATTGATAAGAAGTTTGGAGAAGCGTTTGTTACATGTGGTTCAAATATGTGTGTTGTTCTAAGAAGTGCGGTACTGGGCTTACTCATGCCTTATCTTTATTTACACATAAAACAATAACTTGGATGCAATTAACAGAACATGATGTCGATGTGTGAGCTTCATCCATAGCCCAGATGGGAAAGAAAAGCCTGGGTTAGAAAACTATAAAATTTGGAATTTCAAAACAAGAAAAAATTAAACAATAATATGGACAAACCACATGTGTTGAGTCAAATACGCAACACCGGTAAACACATATCCAAATATCTTTATTAATACGATAACAATTAAGAATGAGCAATAAAAGGTTCATTCTTAAACATGGTTTGTGCGAAGCGAGTGCTTTCGGCGCAAATCGCTGGGAGTGGAAAATGAAATCCGAGACACCATTATTGATTTATTTGGGCAGCGGAAAATGACAAGTGTATGAGAGTTTAACCTAGGTAATGCAGCAATATTTGAAGGAGGAAATTAAAAAGAATCCAGTTGCAGGTTTCTGAATTATATATGGGGAAAGAGAAGTGAGAGGTACGTGGAAACGTGGCGTTTGGGTCAGAGTTGGGACAAAAGATGCAACATCTGGTCTCCTTCACTCTGGTACTGTCACTGGGGGACTACCCTTCCTATTCCAATTCCTATTCCCAGTAACCTCACACCGTAAAATAATATACTACTACTCACTCACACACACAGCTGTTACAAAAACAAAGAAGCTTTAAAAATATCTACAACTATATACTATAAAGTCTATACTCTACACTATTGCATTATATATGCATTTACATCTAGAACCATTGAATTGTCGAGTGTATTGAAATTGAAATATAAATATGAGTTTTGGAACCCTCCCTCTACCCCTATTGTGAGAGTCCCAGGCATGTATAAACTACACAACACAACAACCCACCAACAATTTGTACCGAGATTTTAATTTTAATTTGGCATCCCATTATTTTAGAATAATTTGTTTATGACCAAACCAGTTCATTACTCACTCATTCCTCGATGTTATAACCCATCTTGGTTTGAACCAAGAACAAAGTCTCCTCCTCGCACTCTCTTTCTCCGTGGGGGACGCCAATAAACCATACATCATACGCCGTTTTATTTTATTTTATTTATTTCGTTTCGTTTTTCTCTCCTGCACTTCCAACCAACCCAACCCCTTCTCTTGTGTGAACAGAGTTGAAACCTCTTCAACCCGATCGAGACTTTACTTTTGTCGATTCGTTTGGTTCTTCATTATAGCATTTCCCTTATGGCTCAGAAGTACTTGTTGCACGAGCTACTTGAGGAGGATCAAGAGCCTTTTCTTCTAAACAAGTACATTTCCGATAGGCGAAGCCAGATGAAACGGCCTTCCCCGAACACCACTTTGCAAGTGAAGAAACGCAAATCAACCAATCCAAACGCAAACTTCCCGGGGAATTTCTGCAAAAGTGCTTGTCTTTTTTCCCTTACGGACACCCCGGATTTCAGAAAATCTCCACTCTTTGAATTCACTTCCGCAGCCAAAAGCCCTTGCAAGTCTCCCAACGCTATTTTCCTTCACATCCCTTCCCGAACCGCGACTTTGCTTCTAGAAGCCGCTGTCAGGATCCAGAAACACTCCTCACCCACTTCACGGCCTAAACCGAAAGCTCAACCCTTCGGCCTCTTGGGTTCCCTCTACAAGAGGCTCACGCAACGGAGCCAGAAAAAGCGCGAGATAGAGGGTGGTGGAAGCGTCAAGGTCTCTGTGAAGGATATTCTGAAGTGGGATTCATCTGTTGGGCGTAAAAAAGGTTCCAACAAGAAAGAAGAGGAAAAAACTGTGAATGTGAATGTGAATGCGTGTGAAGTGGGGTTCGCGTGTTCTTACAATGGTAGACCTAGTAGTGCTGTTTGGTCAGAGACCAACGAAGATAAATCTCTCGACATGGAAACGTCAAGTAGCGGCTACTCCGAAGAGATTCACTTCATGACCAATCACAAACAATCCACGTGCTTCTGCGAAAGCCCGTTCCGTTTTGTTCTTCAAAGCAGTTCTCCCTACTCCGGCCACCACACGCCGGAGCTTCTCTCGCCGAGTCGCCACGTAACTGAGGTTTGTCTTTTATTATTATAAAATTTATTAGTTTTACGGTTATTTGATTTTTAATCTAATGTTGAAGCTGGTTTGGTTTGTGGAGAATGAGTTGATGAGGAAAAAAACAGGACTCGTGAGTTGGGTGGTGTTCTGATATTGTCGGTAATGAAACGTGGGTCTGTGAGTTTGGCCGGAATGTCGCTTTTCGGTGACAATCATAACACTCAGTCTTTCCGAAATTTGTTAAAGAACAGCCCTGTGAGGACTGTGGAGGGTTACATATGTCAATTTCATGTTTTTGTTTTGTTTTCTGATTTTCCTCATAATTGTACTTTTCGATCGTGTTTCTGCCATGCAAATCTTTTCTCTCTCTGCTAGTGGGTTCTTTGGTAAATTGCTTTCTTAAAAAGTGAGAAATTATGTTTTTCACTACCTCTGCTACTGGGTTGTGTGGTAAATCACTTCGTCAAAATGATAAATTGTGTTTTTGTTTCTTCTCTTGTTTCCTGTCTTTTTCTGTCGCTACATCCCACGTACCATTTACTAGAAAAATTAGTTTCCCATTTGTAATTTTGTTTCAATTACAAGGAGAGTTTAGCACCAATAGCGAATCACCCCAACAACAAAAAAAATAGTCAATTACTATTCAGTTATGAAACAATTGTATGTTGTGTTTGCCTGAATTTTGTTTTAACAATTTAATAAAATTGAAATGAATTGAGTTTATATCATATAACATGATTATAAAATTGTAGATAATTTTTTTCATAAATATTTCTAGAAAATAGTTTTTTTACATGTTATTATTACAATGCTAAAATTAGTTTATTAAAATATGAAAACTTAAGAAAAAAATTAACATCTGTAACAAGTTAGTTTTGTTTTAAAAAAAAGTTGTTTTATTTATTTTTTAAATACTCAAATTATGGAAATTGATTTTAGTTTACACAAAAAGTTGGATACATTTTACCATATTGTACATAATTAAAACTTTGTGCCTAAATCAGTTGAGATTGAAAAAATATGTTAATATTCTGATGGATGTTTTTGTGTTTTTAATAGGAGAAAGAAAGTAACGAAGGTGAGAGTGTGAACAAATTCGAACCAGGGGAAGAAGAGGAGGAAGATAAGGAACAGTGCAGTCCAGTGTGTGTGTTAGACCCACCGTTCGAGGACGATGAGGAAGGGCATGAGAACGGTGATGAAGGAGAGGAGGGTGGTTTTGATTTGGAGTGCAGCTATGCGATTGTACAGAGTATGTCACTGCTTATTTATTTTTGTACCATTCTCTGTTTGTTGTTGTGTGGTCGTTTTCCACCAACGCACCACCGTACACACTTCTTCAAAGTTGCTTGTCTGTTACAAAATACAGTAAGAGGAGGGGCTAATTGCTGATGTAGTGATGTGATTGTGCTGATCTTTAACCGTGCTATCCTTGTGGGTTCCATCCAAAAGATCACAGTTGCTCTACATCCAAACGGCATTTCCCATTTATTGTGGATCCTTTACATCTAGATATAAGGCCATTGGTTATAAATTTTAATGTGACCCACTATTTCTCTTGTTAGGAGAAACGTCTTAATTCCCACCTTTCCATTCAATTTGTTGGATAACATTTGAGCAATCAAATTCCTATCTTTTTTCATAATACTTTTTGTGGCACCTTTTGGTGGAGAATGCTACCATACCAATAATGCTAGGCACACATAATTTTTTTTTTTTTTTTTCTATATCTTATATTTCTACATATTTACTACAGTCCCACGACACTGCATTTAATGATATATGATTATGAATGATTTTGTGCAATTGGAAAATTTTCTTTCATCAATTGATTTATATATAGCACACGTACTTTATGATCAATTCGAGATTTTCCACTAATAGATTTGAATTTTGCAGGAGCCAAGCAGCAGTTATTGTACAAGCTTCGTAGATTTGAGAAACTGGCAGAGTTGGATCCCGTAGAACTTGAGAGAAGAATGCATGATGAAGAAGAGGACGAGGATGAAACATTTATGGAAGAGGAGGGTCGTGAAAATGAGGATAAGGAAGCATCATGTAAAGAAAATGACTTTAGAGAATTAATGTTGCAAGCTCTGTGCCAGTCAAGGGTCCATGACAGACATCAAATCCCGGAGGATTTTCAGAAGCTGGTATCTGATCTCATAATGGAAGAAGAGAGAGAACTTGATTACTTGGAAGATAGGGACATGGTGATAAGAAGGATATGCAAGAGGTTGGAATTGTGGAAAGAAGTGGAGTCCAACACAATTGATATGATGATAGAAGATGACTTCTCTAAGGAGGATGGTGGGTGGAAGAAAAATGTAGAGCAGATAAGAAATATGGCTGGGGAGCTTGAGCGTGCCATCTTTGGCTTTCTGGTGGAGGAATTTTCAGAGGAACTAGTATGTTAATTGGGGGTAAATTTTGAGGCAGCTGAGGAACTTAGTATGAACGATTTATCTTTATTCTTTATCTGAGAAGAGTACAGTCTGACTTGCATGTATTGGGATATGATAGGCTAGTAATTGAAAAGAAAAAGAAAGTAACCCATAAAGATAATCAGGGTATATATGTACATGACTCATGTTTGTAGCTGGCTCTGGGGATGCTGTAAGTCACCTTTCTTAATTTAATAATATAGTTTTTACACTTCTTGAAGCCTTTCTTATAATGATTCTTAATAATTTTTTATGGTGTTTTAATTTAATGAAGAAGGGATGGGTACGAGAATCATATATATAATAAGTTCAAGGCATTTAATGTTGATGAAATGTGTCTTCCCTTCATGTTTGACTAACTCAAGTGCTTAACCACGTTGCTAGATGGTAAATGAGACTCGATAAAACTTGTGATGAAAATTTGAATGTATGTCAGTGAGGGTAAAAGAATTAGAATTACGGGCAGAGGATGGACATTATACTTTGATGATCTTTATCTGGGAAGGAGGAACATGACAGCGATTTATGAGTTTAATCTGATGTTCTATTCTTTTCCAAGGCCCCTTTTATTGTTTAATGGATAAACAACTCAAATTTGCATCTTGCTTTCTGCCTTTTGCTTTTCCCTTTTTCTAATCACTGCAGGTGGCGTATCTGCTTATGCTTTTCTGCTGCCACTCATCGATCACTATCATTTGGAACCTTCAAAATTGTTTCTTCTGGGAATGCCAGTTGTAGAATTGGGGCAATCTTGGTCAAACACGTCATGGTCATAATGAGAACAGTTACTTACCAACAAGAATGAGTTATTTATGAAAATAGACATTGGTTAACGAGTTAAAAATGGTTTTCATTTTCAAAAGTACTCCTTTTAGCAGGACCCATTGTTCATTAGTACATAACTTTGTTTCAGTGGCAATATTTGTTGTGTATACCATTATTTCTTGAAAATTACAATAATAAATAAATGTGGTTTCCTTAGAAAGAAAGGAAGTGGTGTAATAAACCCTACTTAAGAAATGTGGCTAAATTAAATATACAGTAGTTGGGCTAATCGGTTTAGCCACTATGAGTAATAAAATGCATAAACTATGCTTCTTTGGGTCCTCGGCTTGAACAGTAGAAAGGCCATTGTAGGTATAACCACTACTTTTGGCCCATTGAAATAATATGGACTGGGTGTGTTTTTCTTTTTTCTTTTTCCCGATTTTTCCAGGAAAGACCAATTTCTCGACATTCACCAAGAAAAAGAAAAATGTAATATCTTTTTGGTAGGACCAAACAAACTGAAGTTTCAAATATGGCGACACCTGTGGAAAAAATAATGACCAATATAATAAGATGGACGCCACGTTGCCACGTAAACTTGTACAAGAGGAGATAAGACAAAGAAAATATACTTTTCCATTCCTACCCTTTCTATAAATAACTCTTTTTTAATATTATAATAATAATTTTATTTTATTTTTATTTTTATTAAATTATTTTATAAATTATTATATTAATAAAAGTGATTTTTATTTTTATTAAATTATTCTATAGATTATTATATTAATAAAAATAAATTATTAAAAATTTATATAATTTATGATTGTAAAAATATCACCACTCTTAAACACAATACAAGGCACTGGCCACGACCAAGACCATCCAATGTTATCGCAAATGTTGGTCGTGATCAACAATCTCTCCTCCAAATATATAAAAACTCAATTAATGAAATTTAAAATTAAAATTTCATATAAATGATACAAATCCGCGTTGAAACTAGTATAAGTTAATAGCATATACAATAAAATTATATAATATTTTTTCCTTATTATTTATATCACACGTTCATTAGTTCTAAATGAGTATGGAGAAGTTTTTCTTTTATTCAATCATTCTGAAAATTCCACATAACCAGGGAGACAAACAAGAATGAGGGCGGCGCGAAGCAAGAGCATGGATATGGAAGAAGAAGCCAATGATCAGCATACAATAGACATGTGGAAGATAATTGACAGAGAGAGGTTGGGTTCGATGGAGCTCAAGATTTCGGAGAATCCCAAGTTGCTAAGCAAATCTGCGGGGAAGGGATTGTGTTGCATCCTCAGGGTTCCACGGAGCCTAATCGAGGCAAACGGAAAAGCCTACCAACCTCGTATCGTGTCGATAGGACCATACCACCGTGCCCAACCTCGTCTCAGCATGATCGAGGAACACAAGTGGTGTTACCTCGGTTCCCTTCTCAACAGAACAAAAACCAAAGGTTTGGGCTTAGAGGATTTATTCAAGGCCATTGTCCCTTTAGAATACGAAGCCAGAGAGTGCTATTCAGAAACCATCAACCTTGACTCTCACGACTTCATCCAAATGATGATCCTCGACGGGTGTTTCATCGTTGAGCTCTTTCGCAAAGTCGCTGAATTGGTACCCTTTGAACGCGACGACCCTCTTGTTAACATGGCCTGGATATTACCCTTCTTTTACCGGGATTTTCTCAAGCTTGAAAACCAAATCCCGTTCTTCGTTCTGAACCAGTTATTCGAAGTTACAAAACTACCCGGAGAAAAGTCAACGTGGACTCTTTCAACTCTCGCCATGATATTTTTCAACAACTCGTTGCAAAGACCAGATGACGTTGTCGTCTCGGCCAACCAAAGGCAGGTGAAAGAAAAACACTTACTCGACTTGGTTCGTACCAGTTTCATTCCGAACCTCGAAGAAACTGCAGAGCCTAGAAAAAGAGTTACCACGCCGACCCACGTGATCCACTGCGTCTCAAAGCTTCGTAGAGCCGGGATTAAGATCAATCCCGGCATGGAAAGCGACAGCTTCCTGCACGTGAGATTCAGGCGCGGCGTGATTGAAATGCCAACACTTACAATGGACGATTTCATGAGTTGTTTTTTGCTGAACTGCGTGGCATTTGAACAGTGCTACAGTGGCTGCTCCAAGCACTTCACAACGTACGTTACTCTCTTGGACTGTCTCGTGAACACTTACAGGGACGTTGAGTATTTGTGTGAACGGAACGTGGTTGAGAACCACTTTGGGACTGAAGGTGAAGTTGCCAGCTTCATCAACAACGCGGGAAAAGATGTGGCGGTTGATTTGGATTTGAGTTATTTGTCCAAGTTGTTCAATGATGTTCATAAATATTACAGAAATAGTTGGCATGTCCATTGGGCTAGCTTCAAGTACACTTACTTTGATACGCCATGGTCGTTTATCTCTCTTCTCGCGGCGTCCATATTGCTTCTTCTTACGGTGGCTCAGACCTACTTTGCGGCTTCTCAGTATTTTGATGACTCCAAAAAATCTTGATATCGTTCTCGTTTTGGAAAGAATAGTTTCGGATCTTGTTGCCCAAAATCACTGTTGTGTTTTGATGTACTGAAAGACAAAATTAATACATCGTATTGATAGAAATGTATGTTGTAAATTCGATTAATTGAATTAATAAATTAAGGCAGGCAGTTTCAAGTATATACGGAAAAAATAATGATATGTTGTACATGAAAAAAAATATTGTCAAAAATATCATTTTCCTAGGAGAAAATTGAAATTGGGACAATGATTCACATTCATCTATAACATCAAATATTTATTTGATAATATACTATTTTAATAAAAAGTAAATGTTACATTGGGGTAGATCAACTTTTTCCTTAAAATTATAATACGATCTTTCAATTTCTTAAATGTTTAAAACAAATCACTTCCTTCTTTCACCCTAATTCTACAAATTATTTTATACCAACTATGTTGTGTATGTACATAATAGGCCTCCTAAACAAGTTTTGAAAAATCCAATTGGGACACGAAAGGTGGTAGCTGTCTAAATTTAATTCAGTCAGAAATGTGACTTGGTTTGGCTAATAGTTTCAAAATTTTAATGGCACTTGATAAGAAAATTCAACTTCAGGTTTCTGTGTGTGATTTTTCTTTTTTTCTGGCCACAAATTTATGATCCGAAAGAATGCAGACTTTTCAAAGATGAGCATGAACCTACCAACATCTGTTTAGCTGCAAACTATGTAGCTGCCATGATCCCAGTTGTGGTGGTGCCGCGTTGAAAAAATCCTCCGGTTAGATTTGGACATTGGACCCTTATTACTTAACTGGGTCAAGAACACACTCATTTATACGCTCAAGGTAAACATATACAAACATAATATTCACTTGACTCAGTCTCGTACTCCATTCAAAGGAATGTTATCGTGATTCTCCCAGGTAGTTTACTGCCATACGTACTCTACAAGAAGTTGACATTCCATGCATCCTTATTGGCCCAAATCACAAGGAATCAAAAGGATCCAGTCTGCAAGACATGGTCTTTCTTTGACCATACGTTTAACATTTGAATTGTGAACTCGTTGGTGCCATTTCCAAGAAATCAACTCCAAAAATCTAGCTAGGATTCGTATATATATATTGCAAGGTGGTATATGCACTTTACTACAAAATTTGCCTCGTCGTTTATCTTCTTCTATCACTCACAACAGAACTGAACCGCCCAAATTAACAGGTTTCCCTACTTGGATATTTTCTCAAGAGTTTGCATTTTAATGCCCATGACTGCCTCAAGTGAAAAGTTGGTGTTGAATCAACTTCCTCAACCGTCAAGACCCTTTAATAGTTACGACACGAGCATAGAAATATCATCCACAACTTATCCACTACAACAATCAATTGATGTGGTGCCACCAAGCATGACAAAAGAAGAAGAGGGACAACAGAAATTCGCCCTTGTATCTAAGCTTGTAAATCGCGTTTTGAATGAGTACGAAAAACTTCCTGCGAGCTTTAGAGACCAAATAAATGCAGAAGAAATGTTGCGTGGAAAAAGGAAGAGACATGGTGAAGAAACCCAAAACACCACTTCCCGTGGTCTGCAGCAACCTGTTCAACAGAAGCCCGAGCGCTTCAAGGTTCGATATGTTTCTACGGAAGAGGTTGTTAAAGATGATGACAAGAAATAGTGAGACTTTGTTGAACTTAGTTCATAGGAATGTAATTTCCAATTGATTGATATAATTAATATCTGCAATCAGTCATATGGAGTAGTGTAAGAAAATAAAAACAATTCTTTAATTCTTTACCTATTTATTAGTAATGTGAATGTTATGGTGACAAGGTACCATAACCCTTCATGCAATTCAGCTGTCTAGTTTATCCTGCTTATTGCTTTTTATGATGTAAGCTTTCTGTACCTAATTTTATTTTAGCTAAATTGAATCTTCTTTTAAGTATGGTTCGTCTCTCGAATTAAAGAACTTGAATACTTGGTTATAAATCATAGTTCTTGACTTTAATTAGTTTGAGTGTCGTCTTACCTTTCAAGCTTTAGGCAAAGATGAACATGTTCCCGTGTCAATAGAAATTATCTTTCAATAAGACAATTTTTGTTAGATATTAGTAGTAAATTTTAAGTCAGATATAAATTTTCTTTGAGAGTTAGTTCTTAATTTTTAACTGGTATTGATTTGTTGGATATTGATTCTGCTACAACAAAGTTGCTAAGAAAGTAAAGTAAGAGTAGGCAAGTGAGATTATGGAAAAGAAGACTAGTTATTGTGATGTCTGATGATGATATATGTAGAGGTTGCTTATACTATATTCAACCTAGATTATTATGTTGGCATTCCGCACTAGATAGAGTTGATAAAGATTGATTTAGGTGTAATTAGTGCACCTAGATTATTCCGTTGCTAATCTCCACTACTTCTTCTCGTTGGTACTCACTAAAATCGTTGTTTAGAATTGACTGGGAATTTTTACTATGATCGATTATAATGATGTGAATTTTGAAAACATCATCTATTGGGTACGTCCTGCCATTAAAATTCATGGCAAGCAATGAAAGTAGATACAAAAATATGTGGAATGGCTCAACAAATATTAACCACTGATTCTAATCACTTTAATTTAGCGTAACTTAACCACACAATTTCGTAAATATATAAATTTAAACAATTACAAGTGTAAAAGATTTAACCGTTTTGTGAAAATTATAAATATATTTTTAATGTTTGGATAAATTGAAATAATTTCAAAAGGTTAAAAAATATATATATGGAGATGAAAGATCATTACCATAAAAATAAATAAATTCTATTACATTTTCAAAATTTTGTTTAGATTTTCTTTAAACATAGACTTAGAGAAATAACCCCTTAAAACTCTTTCAAAACCTGTCGTTGTAAAAGAATTTTCACTTATTTGACTATATCATCATTGAATTCAAAATTACATAAATATAGAGGAGGTGAAACTCGATTTTCTTTCCTTTTATGGCAATCCAGGTGAAAGATGAATAATTACCTGATTTATCAAATTCCAATCCATATATCTTCGTCACGTTCTCGATATTTTAAGTTAGTCGTTATTCTATAATATTCTGAAAATGAATGGCGTGATTGAGATAAATGATAAATATATGTCCCTGTTTTTCGTTTTTAAGATAAACAATCTTTGACTTTTTTTTTTATGATATGTTTTAGGTTCATTCATGAATTAATGTAATCTGATAGATCGGTTTAGAGTAATAACGAAACATGTAACAACAATGTGTTACAATTAATTAAAATCATAACATAAGCATGCAATATACTTGATTTTTCCACGAAGAAAGGTGAGGTAGCTTGTTTAACCTGTCCTCGCTTCTTCAATGAAATGTTGAAACAAAACAATGTTAGAGTTCTGTGGCACAGCCAAGATGTGAATGTTTCAAATTCCTAAACTAAGACCAAGTCCAACTTCTAGACCATTTTCCAATGTTTGATTCATTTTTGAACTTTGCTTAGACTGGTTGGTCACCGTATTCATCTTTGACCAGTTTGTTAAGAATATTATATAGTTTTATATCAAAAATATTATTTAACCACTCAAACAATCTCAAAATAACACTACATAAAGTTGTTTGCGTATACTCACCATTTCATTCTCCAACACTTATATTTCTGTTAACTTCAGAATTAGCATCAATTCCATCTGCATAATTTTCATTTCATTCATCGATCACTACCCTTTACCAAGTTTCAAATTTCAATCTGAGACCATGCAAACATTATTGCAAAGCTATGATATAACCTCTGAATCATACGTGACACACACTGGTGAGCCTGCAGAATCAGCTTCTACTAATTGGTACAACTTCAGCTCCAATATTCCCAACTTGCCTGAACAAAGAAAGAGTAGCCACTATAATTCTTCTCACAATAGTACACCATATGCCACTACAAAGAAACGTGTGTTTCTAACTAAGAGGGTTTATTATTCAACCAGAACTCGTGGTCGTTCTGGTGTCCTACAATCACTCTCTAGAAAACTTGGTCGATTCAAGATCCGAACTGTTATTGTACCCAAGATTGCAAGCGAGGGAAACAATGCAAACAAATGAATTTGTTTTTCATCATGAATATGTGTTTCTCGTGAACATTTAGTCGATTTTGATTTCTTAGAAACTCAGGTTCTAACCAAATTTGAACCACGTAGATTCTTTTTACTTAGACTAGCAAATAGTTTTCAATCAAAACATGTATAAAAATCGAAAACGTCACAGTATCGAACCGAATGAAAGATAAAACATGCATGTATATTAAGAACATGGAAAGTGTGATAAAACATGCATATCGAAATCGAAAATACTATTTTTGATATTTTTTATTAAGAAACTCGAAGTAAAGAAAGTAGTAAAAGGTATCGAGATGAAAAACAATTTAGAATATTAAATTACATAGAAATGTAAATGCGGAACCTTAAAATTGCATTAAGTGTAAATGACAATGAATTGAAATTGCAAAAATGTAAATAGCAGGAAATCGAAATTACAGAAGTGTAAATAACAAGAAATCGAAATTGCAGAAGTGTAAATAGCAAGAAACTTAAACGCGGAATCTTAACTTGCATAAAGGTAAATGACAAGGAATTGAAAGGACAAAATCTTAAAGTTGATAAATGTAAATGAATGATCGAATGTAAATTGCATGAAAGTAAATTACATGAAAGTAAATTACCAGGGAAAGTAAAGAAAGCGGTAAAGACAATCAATGAAAATGGAAATCCAGAGCGCTAGAAACTTTATGATGCGTCTTCTCCTTTAGACTTTTCACTTGCGTTTCTGTTGTCTCTGTCAATTTCCCCTTTTTCTTCATGCTTCATTCTATTTATAGGTCCGCTTCAACGTAACCTCCTAAGAGCAGTTTAGAAAACTGCTACCACATTCCATGTACACGTACGTTAACTATCCTCGATTTTTATCTTAGCCACGCGTTTTAGAAAATCGTTTCCCACGTTCCATGTGCGTGATAACCGTTCCTTTGATCTTGACCTCAACCATCGAGTATTTAAAACTATTTGTTTCGGTGAAAATTTGATCGATTTCGATTTATCGAGACTTAAGTTCTAATCAAATCTCAACCATGTAGATTCTTTTTATTTAGGCTAGCAAACGGTTTTCAATCGAAAAATGCATGAGAATCGAGAATCCCAAAATCTCGAAAAAGCAAACAACACGACCTAGAGTGCAGAAAGTACTATTTTTGGTATTTTTTATTAAGAAACGCGAAGTAAAGAAATCAGTAAAAGTGTCGCATCGAAAAGTAAGTGCAAGCATATTAAATTGCGAGAGAAGTGCAAAATGCGGAAACCTCAAATTTGCATTAAGTGTAAATGGCAAAGAATCGAAATTGCGGAAATGTAAATAGCAGAAATCGAAATTGCGTAAATGTAAATAGCTGAAATCAAATTGCGACATGTAAATGACGGAAATCGAAATTGCGGACATGTAAATGACGAATATCTTAAACACATAACCTTAACTTGCATAAAAGTAAATGACCAAGAATTGAAAGGACAAAAACTTAAAGTTGATAAAAGTAAATTGCAATGAAAGTAAATTACTAGGGAAAGTAAAGAAAGCGATAAAGATAATCAATGAAAACGGAAATCCGAGCATTAGAAACTTCATGATGCGTCGTTCTCCTGTAGACTGTTCACTTGCGCTTCTATTGTCTCCGCCAATTTCCCTTCTTCCTCAAGTCTTCGTTCTATTTATAGAGCACCCTTCAAGTAACCTCCTAAAAGCGATTAATAAAGCTGTCACCACGATCCAACGTGCACGTCCCTTAGTTCTACGGTTTAGGAAACCGCATTCCACGTTCTCATGCATGAGAGAACTGCTCCCTTGATCTTCGATCTACGCTACGGTTTAGAAACCGCTTCCCATATTCTATGTGCGCGTTAACTGTTCCTCGATCTCAATTTCGGACATCGAGTGTTTTGAATTATTTTGATTCCCCTTAATCTTAACATTACACCAGATTCTAATTTCTCGATTTTCTTCAACAATAGACATCAAATATTCTTCCTTCGATTCTCGATTCTGATTCTCGATTTATATGTGTTTTCATCTTGTGGTTATCGGGTGTTTCTTAACTGTCTTTTATCAAATTTCCAACCAACCATATGATCTTCGATATTTCTCTCTCTTGTTTTTTCGATCCTGGTATCGATTTTTCTTTTACTAACACTATCCCTCGATTTTTATCTTAGCCACGGTTTTAGAAAACCGTTTCCGCGTTCCATGTGCGTGATAACCGTTCCTTTGATCTTGACCTCAACCATCGAGTATTTAAAATTATTTACGGCTTTCCATTTAACTTCATACTCAATACCTTTCATCGATTTTTACTTCCCCATGATCATCGAATTTCCTATATTTCTTTCGATTCTCGATTCCAATTCTCGATTTTCTTCAGCAATAGCCATCGAATCTTCTTTTTCGATTCTCGATTCCAATTCTCGATTTTCTTTAGCAATAACCATCGAATCCTCTTCTTTTGATTCTCGATTCTCATTCTCGATTTTCTTCAGCAATAACCATCAAATCTTCTTCTTTTGTTTCTCGATTTCAATTCTCGATGGATGTTTTCATACTAATACATGATCATCGAATGTCTTCTAACCATCTTTTCGATTTATCAATTTTTCAACTAACATACGATCCTCGATTTCCTTCTATCCACTTTTTGATCCATATATCAATTTTTCCCACCAACAATATGTAATCTAATACAGAAGTTTTTTTAAATCCAATTTGTATATAGAAAATAGTAGTTTTCTATAAACAAGACACCCTGAAGATCACATTTACGATAAATTATGTTGAAACAGTTATTATATAAATTGATAATTATAAAATCGTATTAGAAATACCAGGAACAATATTTTTTAATTTATAAACTGTTTCGATTAGAAATTATGTTAGCTAAGCATTCATAAAGGTCATTACAAATGGCCCACTTGGGTTAATTCTCTGGGCGAGAAGACAAGGTGCGCCGTGGCACATTTGACAACTATAGTGCTATTTGTAGTCGTGGATTAGATTTGGACAAGATTTTTTGTACCAAATATTTCACCACTAATTCAGTGGTTTTCGACAAGACATTTGTAAATGTCTCTAAAAATGTATAGGCAACAAGGAAATAAACAAGTCATAAATTTTGAAGTGTAAGTCATTTATAGTTTGTGCAGAAAAAAATCATTTTTTTTGTTTATCTTTAATTTTAGTATAAATACAATTGGAAGTTGTGATTATATGAATCTTTATTGCGAGTGATGGTTTAAGGATCTAACTTCTTAATATCATAAGTAAAAATTGTTTAAAACAATAATTTACTCTTATATAGATTATTATTGGAAAAATTTTATTTTTCTCTAATTTTTTCAAACTTTAACTTTAATCTATTTAAAAATGTATCTACTTTTCGTTCTTTTAATTTTAAAATATTCTATATTTATAAGTCCCATTATATAGCATTTTTGTACTAAAAGTGGATTATTTTTTAAGTTATAGAGATAAAAAAAGTTTAGAGAAGACTAAAATTAAAATTTAAAAATTCTAAAGGGATGAAACAATATTTATAAACTAATATAAGGGTACAAATAAACGTCTTTGATAATGAAAATAGTATATCTTTAAGAACATTAATGAATTTTTATCTAAAATATAACTCTTGAAAATTAAAACTAGGTATAACTGATACAAAGTTATATATATTAATGTCAAGTTTATAAAATGAAATTAGTTTAACTAAATATTTAAAATTTTAAGGTTGTATTTTATTATTATTTAACTGAATTGATTTATAAATCAAATTTTAAATTAATTCAATGTTTAATCAGTCAAACTTAAATGATTAAAAATGAATTTAAGCACTGGTCTTATAGGTCGCAACTTTATGTATATACGGAAATAAGAAAAAAAAATTTATGCTCGAGGAACACCAAAAAAAGTAGACATAAATAAACAGGAAAAGCTCACACATAATCATAACAACAGTCAATAATGGTGATAATTAACCTTTACTTTGTGCTTTAACCATTGCTTATTACCTAATCATCACACCTTGACTGTCACCATTAATGTCACCATTAACGTATACATTTTGTTTCCCACATGCACCATTAAAATGTTTTATGAAAAAAAAACTAACAAATATATAATAGTTCTTGGTGTGAAATTTTATGAGTACGAGTTCTCACCTAAGTGATTGACTCAAACACGAGTTTTCTAGCTATTGATGATTGACTCAAACTCTTATGTATAAAAATCAAAGGTATAGTAAAAAATGGTGTTATTTCCTACTTGCACCATAAATAATGGTTACAACCCTCTGGTCGTTTTTCATCATCACCAAATCAGTAATAATTATATTCAATTCACAAAAAATCAATAATAAAATATACAATTTAAATGTAATATATTTTACCTTGAATTGGAGACGCCTCACGTAGTCGTATTGTTAATAAATTAACGGTTAATTGCTGGAAAAAAGTAAAATATGCATCATTTTTAAATTCTTATAATAAAATTTATAAAAAAGGTAATCATGTAACAATAAAATATATATAATTAAGAGAAAATCAATTTTATAATATCATAAATAAACAAATTCGGCGCCATTAATAAATGCAATTTATTTCAAAATCGGCTGTGATTTTGCTTTATTTGCATCACCCTGTTTCAAGCATCGTATATAGTTACAAACTCTCTCATGAAAAATATTTAGTATACACTTTTTTTATATATATTTTATTTTATCCTAACATATCTATAATATTCAATCTCTTTTGTATTTCTCTCATTTCTCACATTGTATGTTTATCATTACTCTTGCAAGAATTGCTGCGAGTTTCTTTTGATACTACCTTAAGTTGGTACACTCGAAAGACATGCACAAACATATAGTCAAACATTTTTATATATACACGTGTGGCATTTCACGCATGCAACACTTGAGAACCAATAGCTAGCTATCAATGGAAGGTAAAGTGTCAATGTCACTAAAATATGCTCAATCGTATATGTGTTTTGACGTTAAACACAACTGTGGAAAAAATTATATATTATTTTTTACAGTAATATATAATTCATCTTTCTTACACCTCTCTTTCTTCCTTTGATACATATTTCTTTCAATTTTTGTATCTTAGATAACAATTTCTTCTTTTCACGTTTCAAACTCCAATTTCTTGAAAATGAAACGTCAATAAAGGGGAATTAAGGTGGTCCACATGTTAGATGCTTGAGTTTGAAACAGCCTCCAAGAAGCTAGAGTTTGTCTATTATTCTTGTAATCTCAATAAAATATTAGGCTGAAACATGATTAGGATTCCAGCACCATTAATTCTACGAAGTAATAATCAATTGTGAATGATTAAGCCTTCCCACCACTTACCCCTTTTTCTTTACCAAACTAGCTACGATACATGGTTTCTCATTTTCTGTTCATTCTTAATCTAAGCCCCACGCAGGGATTGAAGGTTTGGAAACATTAAAGCCACACAATGAATTCAAATTTGATTTTTTTTTTTTTCATTTCAACCTGAGTGATTCTAAATTGTTCCATAGAATGTCTTCAAACTAGTTTCTGACAACTTGGATGCGAATCTTAATCACGGGAGGGATGAGTTAATCAAAGAAACCTACAATACTAGGTTTTAATAAGAAACTGATTATAGAATTCTATTTCAAGTGAGGGAGACATTTCATTGTGGTTTGCAAACAAACCTAAAATAAAATGGCTGGTTGCCATATCAGTGTCTCCAGGATAGCAAATTTGTTTAATTTACCAGAAAGAGAACCTGCAAATATACCAGCTGAGATTAAGATAACATATTAATAACCAAAAAACAAAGATAATTTAATTAACATATATAATACATAAACATTACATAAATATTGAGGTGCAACAGCTGCAAACCTCACTATAACTAGAAGGTAGTACTGTACACAAGACAAAAAGAAAAACCAAATGGAAAGAGACTAAGAAAGATACACTTTCCACATACACACACACACACACACACACACTGCCTTTCCTGGTCTCTAAGCAAAGTCTGGATGTAAGGGTTCTCCCATAATTTATTATTACATCTTACTTACCTTTCCTTATTAAGATTTTTGCTATAGTAATATAAGATTTTTTTTTTTTATCATCTCATGGACAATAACTAGTAAGGAAAACCCCAGAGATTAGGATCTTCATCCATGTAGTCATAGTCTGTAGCAGCAAAATTGTCAAAACGAGGAGGGCTAAGTAACATTCCTTCAGCCATATTCACCAGAATATTTGGCATATCAAAGATCAAGTCATCATCCACAAAATGGTTCAAGTTTCCACCTGGAAACTCTTGTGCCAATGAAACCGAAACATTCCCTCCTCGGTTTCCGTCACATAGTGCATCATTTGCTGCTCCGACAGCGGCTGCTGCGCTTGCCGCAGCAATCTGAATGTCGCGAGCAGCGGATGAAGCGGGAACTGGAAGAGAAGAGGCGGAGTTAGGGAAGTTGAGTTCAGCATCCTTCCCCTTAAGAGCAAGCGCTGCCACGTCATAGGCAATAGCAGCCATTTCAGGGGTGGCAAATGTCCCTAACCAAATCCTGTTAGGTTTTCTGGGCTCACGGATTTCGGAAACCCATTTTCCACTACTCCTACGCCTCACTCCACGGTACACAGGGTGGCGTCCTGTGTTACCGTTAGAGGCTCCGGTGCTTGATGCAGCACAAGTGTTAGCGTTGCTGGAACGCATGGTGGTGATGTGCAGAAAAATGTTTGTAGTATTTGGAGAAACTAGTCTGGACTAATGGATATCTCAGGTGAAGCTGAAAGAACTTGGATGATGGCAGTTGGCAGTTGAGGGGAGCCATTTATTGAGGTTAGAATTGCGATGGCTGGAGAAGGAGTTCTGAGATTGAAGTGCAAACCAGTTGTTGCTGAACTACGGTGTGTGAAGGATTGGGGTGTAAGCCAGCTTGGTGGTGTTGGATAACTGGGTTGGAGTTGGAGAGCGTTTTCTGTATAATATTAAATAAAAATAAACATGAAAAGTGTATTAGCTGCTTTCTGCTCCCCTTAACACGACGTCAAAATTATCAACAGTGATATTGCACTTTGTCTGTCAATCGATATATATGCACATCACTAACCACCATTTTTTTTTTAACAGGGATTATGATATCTTGAAGAGAACGTGAGATTATCATCTTATTATTATTGTGGAACACAATATAAGACTGGTGACGTGGATTTTTTTTTTTCAATGGCTAGATTTTATCAGACGAGGTTTTAGTCTTCTTGGTTACCCTGCGTTTATTTTGTCCCACCAATTAGGTAGGGTTTGTGCTGCTGTTGCATTGGTATGAGAATTTGACAGGCCGTACGAAGATTTTCTTCGTCAGCACTTGTTTGCAAACAAATTTTACCTTTTTACCATGTGATATATAAGCTGCCAAGTTCGTCAGTTGTCTTATAAATAAAGCCTGCAGGTGTATCAGTGCTTGAGCTAGACTCTACATCTGCTATATGATCTAACATTCTACTTAGAAAAAGAGAAGAGCATGGAAGTTTTAAACAATTTCCAATAGCCAAAGGGACTATGTTAGGTATTGGATAATTGTATTTTGGGTTTTCTAGCCAAGTGAAAATATATAAGCAATTCAGGAAGCGGCTTACGGGTGTAGATGTTGTATAAATAGGTTTGAATTTAGTAGTTGAAGGGCTTTGGTTTTGTCTGAATCACTAAGAAGGAAGTGTGGTTGCTATCGAAAATTTAAGGGATACATTCAAAGAGATTAAGTGATGATAAAAAAATTAATCCACTTATCTTTTCTTTGCATTTATCTCTTTCCTATCAGAAAGTAGAAACTTTCAGTCAAGAAGGAGGGTTATTAGTTCGTCTTTCATCCCCAATTTTAGTTATAAGCCAGGTTGAAGCCCGTAACATAATATTTAGCAAAGTTTCATAGCAAAATGATATTTGTTGGATTTCATAACATATCATTTAATGTAAAATATTCTAAAGTCATAGTCCATCCAGTTGCCAGTTGCGGATCTTCTTCGGAGCTGAGGGGAGCAAAGTTTTGTAACTCCCATGTAATTAATGATTTTGGTCCCCTAAACATAATTAGTATTTAATATATTTCTTGTATATTTACAATTTTATCCTCCAACTCCTCTCGTTTGTAACTTTCATATAATTTATGATTTTATTTCAAACTTAATGATAATTTAATATATTTAAGTATATATCTACAATTTTATCTTTTAAATCTTTCATATTATTTCTTCCTTTTATATTTATTTATTATTTATTAATAATATATTATTTGCCCAAAATCAATGGTCAAGATCCACTGAGTCCATCCATGGTTTCATCAATAGATTTGCGTATGCTCGTAACTTGTTAGATTAATGAGCTGCTTAAAAACACAGTGGTAGATGGGTCTATCTAATTTAGCCATTGTCAATTTGTTCTATTTAATATCACGAGTTTTGACAACTATCACTCTTATATTCATTCATTCAACGCTAAAATTTGAAGTTTCAGACAGAAGTTAACTTGAGACATAGCAACTACCACTGAATTGACAATAGACAAATCCAGATCAGATATGTGGAGAAATTAAAGTTGAAGTTTCGCTATTAAAAACAACTCAAGCAACTGTAATCAATCATCAACAGTTACAGGACATATAAATGTCATTCTAAAGAAGTTGGTGACTTGAACCATGTCATTTATCTTATATATAGAGTGGTGGTTTTCGCCAAACTCTAACCTCTTTATTTGTGTTTCCAATTGTTGGCTACCAGAATGTGTTTATATATTAAAACTCTGTAATTATCTGTTTTCTTTACGTTAGTATTACATGCTATCTGAAGAAAAGACTAAATACATTTTTTTTTATTGAGCTAGTATGCTCTATTTTGGGGTTCATAAGACATAAGAAAACTAATGGTGTTGAATGAAACCATTGGGATGGTATTTCTTAAGCATTCATTAATGGTTCAAAGAGTAAATCGCAAAGCAATTTACGCTCTATCCCTCCTCTTTTTAAATTTCAGCATATCGGAGTAATTTGCTTCTTGATGTTAACTAGTCCATTTTATATTGTTGAGATCTTCAAAACTTATTAGTTACTCAACCATTCCTCGGTAGAACAAATGTCACTCATCTTAATGCAGAAAAAATAAATGAAAAAACGAATAACTCACCCGAATTAATTGTTCATTTACTAGTTTAAAGCAAGGGGTCTACATATAATGCATGCTAATTTCAAAGATTATGTGAAATTAATGTTTCATAAATCCAACAAAGATGTAGTTCTGAATAGATATTAGTATATATATATGGACCTATAACGATGATTATTACAACAATTTTGAAAGCATAATATTGATTTAGGCCATGTTTAGGACTATTTTTCCCACATTCACTCTCTCTAAAATGGGAATCATTACCTTCTACCTTCTCTTTCAGAGGAGTGTCACTTTCTGTACTCTACAATGGAGAATGGCAATGAGTCCAAGTACATGCACTTTAAAAAATATTTATCCACGAGTATTATCACTTCTTTGACCAATCATAAAGGTGGTTGCAGACGTACCAACTGGTAGCAATTACTGAACAATATTTACATTTAATAAATTTTACCTAAATAGAATGTAGCAAAAATAAAAAATAAAAATAACTGTGCTTCCCGATTCTGGAAATGGGAGTTGTAATTGGGGTTTTGATTTTTTTTTAATTATTATTACAACTTTAATGTTTCACAATATATATATATATATATATATAGTATATATATATATATATATATATATATATATATATATATAAATTATCAAGTTTTTGGTATTCGATATTTATTTCAACGAAGTCAGAAAAGTTAATCTTATTTAAAATAGGATATGTTTTTAACATGCGTAGAAAAGTTATCATCATAAAATATCTACAAAAGTTTGTATCGATTCAAAAACATTTAATGTAATTAAAATATTTCAAGATTAATGACTATATGCTTAAAAGTTATGAAAATTAAAATTCATTGATTATCAAATTACTGTAAAAAAATGTACAAATTAGATGCAAATAGCCAAGATAATGAATAATTATAATTCATTGAGTTGAGTGAATGAATACAAATTTCATCTAAATTAAAGTTATCAATAATGTAATAATTTGTATATATATATGCTCACACTAAAATCATAGTGACAAAAATGTTAAATTTCAAATTTTACAAAGAGATACGACACTTAAATCATTTTATATGTTGGAAAATTATAATCTCAAACTTGAGGAATAAGAGATGGTTTCAAAATTCATAAGAAAAAGAGTATATATTAAAATTAGTTGAAGTGAGTGATGAGTTTTAAAAAGAAAAGAAGTGATCAAATTGTTTAGCTATTCGTCAACATAAAATAGTATTTATAAATAAGTATTTGGTATATAAGATATTACTTTCTACTGTAAAATAAAGGGTATTGCAAAACTTAAAACGTTACGAGAACGTAGGTAATTAGAGTTTTGGGCTCAATCTATACCTATAAATAGAGACTATTTCACACTCTTCCAAACATACATTTCTCATTTTTTCTTCTCTATTTTCTTCATATTCTACTATTATCCTAGATTTATTTACTTCTTTTAAGAGTTTTTTGCTAGTTTCTGAGATCCTCGAAAATTATAAGAAATTCCTGTTGTATCCTTGGGGACTTACACAATACACCACGGATTGGTGGACTTGCGTAATACACCGCGGATTGGGGGATTTGCGCAATACACTGCGGATTAGGGGACTTGCACAATTCACTGCAGATAAATTCTTAAGGGCAGTGATTATATATGCCTCAGGAATAAAGTTTGTTTGTATCTTTGTCAGCTTTTATAACAATCTTAAGGATATACAACTGACAGTATGATACCAACAACAACTTCATTAAATAACATATTATCATGGATCAAGGTTAGTCTTCTTATTATGACATAACAGAGAGATTAAAAGAACAAATTCTAATGTATCAAGGTTAGTCTTCTTAGTATTATATGATTTATGTATGTTATTATGTGAAAATCTAAAGGTCTTGAAGAATAGTTTTCTAGTAGAATTCGTAGGAAAACTTAAAATTAACTTACATGTGGTATCAGAGTCATAATTATTTGATTTATGATTTTTCTCTTATGATAGTTTTCTCAAATTAAGATAAACCCTAAGTATGAATTTAGGGATTTCTCTAATGATCTTGTAATTCTTATTGAAATGTGAATGACCCCATAATTGATTTTAAACCAATTTCATAGCTCCTATGTGTGAATAACATGTAATTCTTATTGAAATCATGCAGCGTACGCATAAAACACACGCCATGAGTATTATATGTTGTGAGAGATCTTTTTTGGTAATGAACAAGCAGTTATGTATGCATAACTTAAATCTACATATTATTTTGTACATACGTGTAAGATATTATTTTGTACATACCTGTAAGAAAGGGTTTGAAATTGTATGAAAACAATGGATCTAACCCCACCTTACCTTCAACAAGAAGGGAAATTGCTTTATTTGTGGAAAACAAGTCATCATGCACCTCAATAAGAAATGACAATCCTCCTAAGACAAATTTAGTCAAACAAGAAGATAAAATTGTTGTGGTTATTTCCCAAATAAACCTTGTGACAAATGTGAGAAAATGAGTGGTAGACTCTAGTACTACCATGCATATCTGTGCAAACAAAAGTGTTTTTACCTCCTACACTAGTGTGAGACTACACTGGTGTAGGGATGGAGAAGAACATATTTATCTTGATGATTTCAGGATAACTCCTTTCTTAAAGGAAAAGTTCTTCTAAAACTCACATCTCGAAAGACTCTGGCCTTGAGTGATGTGCTACATGTACCATTAATCAAGAACATTGGAATGCACTTGCAAGACTTATGAGATACTTAAGAGGTTCAATGGATTATGCCATTGAATATAGTGGATTTTTCGTTGTACTAGAAGGGTATTGTGATGTTAATTGGATATCTAATTCAGATGAGACAAAATTCACTAGTGGTTATGTATTCACACTCGGTGGTGGTGCGATTACATGGAAATAAGTTAGGCAAACAATTATTGCAAGATCAACAATGAAATCTGAATTTGTTACTCTCAAAATGGCTGGTAGCGAAGGTGAGTGATTGAAAAACTTCTTAGCAAACATTCCATTAGGAATGAAACCGATCATGTCTATATCAATTCACTGTGATTGTCAATCGGCAATAGTTATAGCTAAAAATAAGAACTATAATGGAACAAATAGACATATACAATTGAGACATAATTTAGTGAAGCAGTTGCTAAAGAATGAAACAATTTTCATTAACTATGTGAAGTTAGAACAGAATCTAGCAGATCTTCTAACAAAATTCTTAGCGAGAAATATGATTTTAGAAACATCGAGAGGAATGAGACTTAAGTCACTTGTAAACAAACAGGTGATGGTAATTCAACCTTATTGGAGATCCCATGAATAAGGTTCATATGGGTAAAAATAAGTCACTTGTTAGTTTTGCTAGCACTAAAATTGATTAAAATCAATTATGCTCATTCCTATGGTGTACATGTGAAAGTGCTAGATATTACATCATTAAGAGGTTAAACTTTGTAATTAAAGTTCTATGTGATGTACGAATTTTAATCTAAACAAAGTTTTTAACGATTTCATATCCCTTACGGGTGGTGTATGATTTGCAGCATACGCTTGATGAAGTCACCTATATGAGTGTCGAGTGAGGCTACTTATATGATATCTTTGCAAGATTTCTAGAGCACTCATGAATACCGAGCATGCGCATGACCTAGTAAGTACAACACAACGATAACAACAAGAATTATGGAGGTGTATTGTGATTGTTAAACCGTTAACACACACTAAGTGTTTTGGTTCATATAGCTTGCTACACCAACTACACTTTGTGTTAAGTTTTCAGTCTAAGACTGGTTCATATAACTTGTTATACCAGCTCTGATGCATTACATCTTATGACACCCAAGATTTTCTTTTTTTTTTCTTTATCTCTTTTGTTTTGCAATATGTAGGGATTCTTTATCTCTATAACAATGTTGTCACAGAGAGTGAACATTGTAACAGACAGAGAGAGAACGTTGTTACAGAGAGAGAATGATGCTACAGAGAGAGAACGTTGCTACAGAGAGAGAACAGTGTCAAAGACAGAGAGAGAACATTGTTATAGATAAAGAGAACGTTGAACGCAGGTAGTTAAGGTTTTGAGGTCAATCTACATCTATAAATAAAGACTATTTCACACTCTTACAAACATACATCACTACAAGAAATAATGGATTTATCGACGTACAAAATTCGTCGATAACAATAAAAATTCGTCGGTAAATATATATACTGACGATTTACTGACAGAAAAGAATTTGTCGAAAATTTCATTGTCAATAAATATTACCGACAAATTTGAATAGTTCGTCCATAATTATTGATGAATATATTCGTCGAAAAGTGTTGTAGGTAATTATTGACGGATATATCAATCGGAAAGTGTTCGTAATTACCGATGGATATATCCATAAAAAATATTCATCGATAACACCTCATTTCTTCCAGAATCAGAAGCCATACACAACTCTAAAGTCTGCAAAACGACATTTTTCATATTCAGAAAGCTACACAATCTCTGCACAAATGTTGGTAGAGTATCGAACTATAGCATTATCTTATACTCATCTAGAGAATTATTCAGATTTCCATGCCAAATATGTTATGGGGGCTTTAAACTCCAGAAATCTATGTAATTAAAATCAGAAAGCATACACAGGGTGCTGCACATTGCAAACAATGAAATCTTTCAAAGCTAATTCCAATGCAACATCTTCTCTACATTTGGATTTGGACAGCCTTGTTAATATGGGAATCAGAATGCTTGTGATGAATGCAACTTATTCTGCATTACAGATTAACTCACTAAATCCTCTACTACTATCCATATTGCAGGTGCAAATTGTAAGTTTAAGCATCATTACACAATACAGAGCATCAAAAAATGGAAGGAGAATTTGATTTATCCTTTCCCAACAAAAATGGAAGGAGAATTTGATTTATCTTTTCCCAACATCAGAGTGAACAAAATAGTAGACCCTACTGTTTTCAACCCTGCAAACCCATATCCAACTTAAATCAAAATAATCCCAAGCAGACCCAACGATTAAAGATCTAAACCGATAGAGCCCTACATCAAACGCATAAATCAGTCATAGCCAACAGAAACAAACGTGTACAAATAAAATCCAGTTTCGGCCCAACAAAATCAGTTCATCCAAAACATAAAAGAAAATTGAACCAATCCAAGAAAAAGAAACCAAAATCAAGGAACCACCTCAGCTTTTGGTCCATGACCTTGCATCAAATCACTAGCCTGCAATTCACGGTGGTCGTCGAGGGCATCGCGGTGGCTGCTGCGGCATTGGTGCAACTTAGGTGGCGCGCAGCAGTTGTTGGTTACAGCAAAGTGGTTAAAGGCAAATTGCTGATGGTTCATGGTGGTTGACACGGTGCTTTGGCTGTAAGGGTTTCTATGGTACGTTGCAGTTTGAACTGGGTTCGCAGCTCCGGTGAGGGGAGGCGGTTCGCGATGAAGATGGTTGCGCCGCGACGATCTAGGGTCGTGTGGTTGGTGAGGTGCGGGTTAATGTCAGGTTAGCTTTCTATAGCTCTTTGTATGAGCATGATTAACTGCGTGGTGATGGCTAGATAGTTCTTTGGTTGTGTGTCTGATGGTAAATATTGCTTAGTACTTGTATATGATGTGGAATTATGTATGGATTGATTTATTTATTTTCCTTGATGCATTGGAGTTTTTTTTGAAGTGTTTCGTATGGTATGTGAGTTAGTATGTATTTAAGAGAGCCGAAAGGAGGTGTTTAGAATTGTTTGGCTAAAAAAGGGGTTGTGACTCCAAAGAACCTCCGAGCTTCTAGTCCAGATTGCAGTCAATTCCACTGTTGGATTTGCCTGAAAGTTGAAGAGTGTGTTCAAGACATTCTCATCTAAATTTTCACTATTCAGGTTTTCATTTGGACTTCTCTATGGGGAGAAATAGAGCTCTAACCGTGACTCTATTTCAAATTCACTGGAATCCCGAACAGTTTCGATAAAATCACGATCGTCAATTTGTTAACCGTTGGAACGGTCTCAAAGTTGGTATCAATTTCCTGATATGAGGTTTTAAGTTTTGACTGTTAGAATTTTCATTATTAGGTTTATAATGGGAGAAGTAAATAAATTCAATTAAGAACAAAAAGGGCAAACTAGTCCTTTAGTATTTAGTTGAGGGACATTTTTGTCAAACATTTTATATTTATTTTAGCTTTCTCCCAATTCAGCAGCGTGCAGCCATTTCTTCCATTCTTCTTCTTTATTTTCTCTCAAACCCTTACATTTCAATCCACAAATTTAAGGCTAAATCTTAATTTTCTTGACGAGCTCCAAGAGGTAAGTATGTTCCTCTCAATCTCTTCTACATTTCTACAGTTTCAATTTTTAATACGGTGCATTTTCATTTTTTTCTTCTCACTTGGCTGGGCTTGAATGGAGTGGGGATAATATTATCATGGTTTGATTGTTGTGATTTTACACCTAGAACACTAGAATCATGTTTGAAGTGGAGGATTAAAAGTGATTGAGCTAAAAACCTTAGGAATCATAATTCGTAAGTACTGTTCACTGAAATTATGAAACTTGTGTGAACAGAAATAGAAATTGTTGTCTTCATAAAAGTTGTAGGAAATTACGTTCCCAAAATTTGGAAACTAGTTTCACATCAAACGGATATTCGAAACTTAAGTTATGTCTATTTTACTGACAAATGTTCTAGTTGTGACGTTAAAATGTTTCCTTGTTTCAATAGCCTCGGTTTTTGAATTTTTGGGATTGATAAGTATAAAATTAGGACTTGATTTCTTCATAAAGGTTTTAGAAAATTATATTATCAAAATTTATAAACTTATTTCACATCAAATGAATATTTGTAGCTCGAGTTATGCCCATTTTACTGTCAGGTGTTCTAGCTGTGACGTTAAGATGTTACCCTGTTTCAATAGCCTCAGTTTTTGAATTACTGGGATTGATACATATGAAATTAGGAATTGATTCCTTCATAATAATTGTATAAAAATGTGTTTCAAAAATTTAGGAATTGGTTTCATGTCAATAGCTTATGTGTAACATGAGTTATAGTCAAAATATCAAGACATGTTCAGAGTGTTATTGTAGTTGAGCCCTGTTGGAAACAACCACTGTAAACTGAAAACTGCATTTATTCAATAGGGTATTTGAATTTATTTTCTTCATCAAAGTTGTATATAAATGAGTCATTGAAAGTTACAAACTGGTATCATGTCAAAATATTGAGTATAGGTTGAGTTATGCCAAAAACATTGAACCTTGTTCATGTTTACTAATAGGAAATCAGTCCCAAGCTTTGGAGAAAATAAACATGGACGTACCAAGTAAGGGGAGCTTGTCCTAACCTCTTTGTGATGATTGGTGCAAGGATAATTGGATGAGTGGGTGTTTTGTATTGGATGATTGTGCTGAATAATGTTATATGATATGCTTAGTGCTAATTATGAGTAAATGGAATTAGTGTGACAATGTGTATGAGAATGTTATATGCTAATGAACAATTGTATGATGTGAAAGTGTTATGTGGGACTGGGTGTCATGTGGAGCTGAGTGCATTGAGAAATATTGATATGTGTTTGAGTTGTGATTGACTGTATGATTATGAACTGTGTATGTAATTGAGACTGTATGCCTGAGATATGCAAACCAGACTTTGAGGGTCAAATGATTTTGCTAATTGAGACTGCATGCCTAAGATATGCAAACCAGACTTAGGGGGTCAGATGATTTTGCTAATTGAGATTATATGCCTAAGATATGCAAAACAGACTTTGAGGGTCAGATGGTTATACTAATTGGGAACCCGACTGTGTGTCAGGTAGTTGTGTGCTAGATGTTTCCCCTGAAGGCGAGACTATATTTCAGATGTCGCCTAAGAGAATGAATTGGATATTTATATTATTGTCTGATCATACTCTATCATTAGAATTGTGAATTATAAATGTTGATTTTAGCTCACCCTTGCATTTTTTTGTGATATGTTCTGCTGTGATCGTACTTGGTACGGGAGCAGGTGCTATAGGTGGAGTCTCGGCTAGCCAAGGGGATGAGTAAGTTAGGAGGAGCTGAGGGTGGGAGAAAGTTTGGGCACATAGCTCACTCCCCATAGATAAGAGAATGGCCAGAGTCTTATTGTATTTTGAAATACTTGGCTTTGTACCTATTTGTATTTGAAGGATTGATGTATTGTATTTGATTATATATATGTTTTAATGAATGAATGAAATTGTATTATTCAGAAGAAGAAAAAAATTGGTCTCATGAAAAAAAAATCTATTTTTCGTATATTTAACGCATGTCAGATTTCTTATAAAAAAAAAAAAAAAAGGTCGTGACAGTTAACCTAGAACTGAGATGGGGAGGGTCTAGCGGTGGGTGAGCTAGGGTGAGATGGAAGTGGGCTACAGAGAGGAGGCGCGACAATGAGGGTTCGAAGAGGGTAGTTCGTATAGGCTCATAGTGGCTCATGATTTTGGCATGGTGGGCGAAAATAAACAACTAGGGTTCTAGAAGAAGGAGATGGGCGCAAATAGGGAAGTTGGAAATGGTGATGGTGAGGAGGAGTGGAGATGAAAAGGAGTTTGGGTTAGTAAAGGTCAAATGAGGGCATGGATATAGGGTAAAGATGAATGCGTATGTAATGGTGACTCTTTTGAGAAGTTGATGGCGAGGAAGGAGAAAATGAAGGGAGGGATTAAAGGAGATGGTTAGAGCTGGGAGGTGTGGCCAAGAGAGTCAGTACATGAAGGTGTCGCGGCTGAGGTTTCCAACAAATATTTAATTTTTTTAATTAAATATTGATTTTTAAAAATATACTTTAAATATGTCGGTAATATTCATCGGTAACTAATTGTTAATTTATCAATAGATATATCTGTTGGTAACTAAGTGTTAATTTAGTGATGGATATATTCATCGATAATTAATTGTTCATTTACTGACGGATATATCTGTCGGTAAGACTACATTTCACAAATACTTTAAATACATCGGTAATGTTCGTCAGTAATCATTCATTTTTCGACGACTATATATTCATCGGTAACTAATTGTTAATTTACCAATTAATATATCGGTCAGTAATTAATTGTTCATTTACTGACGGATATATCCGTCGGTAAAACCAAATTCCACAAATACTTTAAATTCGTCGGTAATGTTAATCAGTAATCACTCATTTTCTGACGACTACATATCCATCGGTAACTATCCGTCGATAATTAATGATTTTCTTGTAGTGCTTCTCTCATCTTCTCTTCTTTATTTTCTTCATGTTCTACTATTATCCTGAGTTTATTTACTTCTTTAAGAGTTTTTTACTAGTTTCTGAGATCGTCGGAAATTTCAAGAAATTCTTGTCGTATCCTGCTGGACTTGCGCATTACACCACAAATAAGTCTTTAAGGGTAGTGATTATTCGTGTCTCTCGTCAGCTTTTACAATTATTTATTAGTATCATTTTGTGGAATTTTTTTTTTAATATTTGTATTTTGCAAAGTTTAAAAATATATTAATTAATTACTTCTTTTTACTATATATATATATATATATATATATATATATATATATATATATGTGTGTGTGTGTGTGTGTTTTTAATTTTATTTATTATAAAGAGATTAGAAATTATTTTAGATGAAAAGAATAATAAAATAATAAGAATAACGATAAAAAAACTAACAAATTTATTAAAAATAATAAAAATTATTGTTTATCTTAGATTATGTTGTTCTATGCCAATATCAAAACCATTCATGATTTCTTAAATTAAAAAATATAAATTTATTACCTCATATCATACTTAAATAATTTATAATTGATTTTATTTAAATAAATTTTAAAAAATACATTCACATATAGTTATTATTATTTTTATTTAAATTAAAGATTAAAATATTTTTATATTATTTAGATTAAGAGAAAAATATATTACATTATTATTTTAATTAGATAATTATGGACACTACATGAATAAATGATAGAAAGATTAAAAAGAATAGTAATGATATATATATATATATATATATATATATATATATATATATATATAACAAGAATTTTATCACTTTTTTCATTTATAACTTTTTATTTTTTTTAAAGTTTTTTTTTAAATAACTTATCTTATCTACTATTCCTTAATATAATATTTTATTTAAATCTTTCAATAAATAACTTTCATTATATTAAGAGAGTAGTTTGTCATTCCATTGCATAAATGTTCTTGATACAATAAATAATAATAATAAAAGCATAAGAGTCAAAGAGGTTAATGAAGCAAAGTCACTAGCGTTAGTAAAAAAATACCATATATATAGGGACCCAAAGTTCTAAGATCCATCAAAATGCTTATACAGAATTTTGATCACGATAAATAAAATTATGATGCGTACCTAAACATACCTCACTTTCAGAACATATTCAAGGTAGGGTAACTTAAATGTTTAAACTAAATATTAATTATTTAAAATATTTTATTATTATTATGCAGTATGATAAGTTATTTAATATATTTTAATTATTTTATTAAATAATTTATAAAAATAAACAAATCAAAATAAACGAGTAGAGTGTATAATGAATAATTAATTCCTTAAAATTTATTACAAAAAATTCATGAACTGAAATTAGTAATGGATTGCTCGTAGCATAAATTCTAGTTTTATATTTTTTAACAATTCATATAAAATTTTTTATTGAATATATATCTTATTATTCTTGTCATAAGAGAAATTCCTTATTTAATATCATATAATTTTTCTAACAACTGGACTCCTTTTAATTGGATTTGTGAAAAGTACCACTAAAATAATAATAATAATAATAATAATAATAATAATAATAATGATGATAATCACACTAATAATAATTTGAAAGTACATATTTAGTGAAAAAAGTTAAAGATATTTTTTCAAAGAAGAGTTGATGTTATTATAGAGCAATTGATACTTTTTTATTTTCTCTTGAAGAACATGGAAAAATAGACGTGAAAGTATAAGGAAATGTTTTTTCATCATGCAACCTGCATATGATCATATTTTGCTCCACTCAACAAGTTTCTTCATTAGATTATTTTTAAACTATTTAATTAAAAACATGAAGATATTATTATTTTTTAAATTATTGTTGAGAAATTAAATTCTTTAAATATTTCAATTATTTATGGGTTAGATTTATTTTCAAAATATGTCTTTTCTTCATATATATATATATATATATATATATATATATATATATATATATATATATATATATATATATAAGTAAAAACAATAATTTGTTAATTGACATAATCGAAAGATTGTTTCCAAATACGTAGTGATTTCGATAATTGTTACTCTAGCAGAAAGAATCTTTAAATCTAAAAAAAAAATCTCATAAAGATTAAATAATTTGATTTTATTGTCAATTAAAAATAAGATATTAGACAAAGTGTAGTATAATAATTTAATAATAATTTTATTAAATTAATTTAAAATATCTCATGTTAAAATTCATTTTAGATCTTTGATTTTTGTATGCTTAACAAATATGCTATATTTAACCACGAAAATTATTTTCAAATTAATCTCGTTATCATCATCTCAAATAAAATATTATATTTAGTTTACATCTTAAAATAATATTATGATTAAAAAATATGTTGAGGCTCTATTTTTTTATAATATTATATATTAAATCACTTAAACCAAAAGAGAGATAAATTTTAAGTATACGTGGGTAACGTTTTTGAAGTTTTGTTTGTGGGCTCGTAATTATTGATGATTTTCAGAGTTTGTCTCATTGATAATGGGCTAACGTTTGGGCTTTTGGTTTCTTAAGAAGTTGGTTTTTAATATAAAAAATATACTAATAGTAAAAGAAAGATAAAAATGACATTTGAATTATTATTTTATTAATACGAAATATTTATAAAATTATTATTAATGATTAAATTTAGTCAGTAAAATTCAACACAAATTTTTTTCAACACTATTTTTTTCTGTTGCACAAACAAAATGGATTGTAGTCTTTGTTATATTTAATTTTTATAACGTGTTAAGCACGTAGGCTACTCAAACATATGTAGAGTATCGTACAAATTTTGGTGTTATAATTTATAATAATTATTTATTATCACATTTAAATTTTGAACCCTTATAATAAGTTATGATGGTTAAATTTTAAATTGTCCTAATAAATACATATTATATTGATTAAAATTTAAATTAATAAAGTCAAATTTTTTTGTGTTTAAAAAATATTATTAAATCATTTATTATAATGAGTGTACTCAACAATTTTTCTTCTATTAGTTAAATTGATATAAAGTGAATGAATTATGCTATAGTGTTAGTAGTTTTTTTGTATCACAACATAAGCAACGTGTGATGCACTTTCTTACAATTGTTGAATAAAAGAAAATAATTTAGAGAATTCCTTTTGTCGCCTTTGATGAATGTCATGGAATGTATAAAGCCTAATGATATAGAGCTCATTCTCCTAGAAAAAACTTAATAATTTTCTTTCAAAGTTAGGTCAAGAACATAAAATGGATTATGAAAAATTTAGGAGCAACCTATAATTTAAGACGTTTACACAGATACTGACATGACATAAGATATAATTGATGATACTGTAAGGAGAATTGTGACACGACAATCAATATTATAGTGTATTGCATTAACAAATAATATGTTCTATTTGCTGAAATATTAGCATGATGTTCCTAACTCTTCATTTTTCGTATGTTTTGTTTGTTCTTTTACTTTGCAGAAAACTTTTTGAACTAGGATATATGTGTGAATTTTGTTCTCATGCATCAAAGAAAGCTTTTATAATAAAATTACAGTAATTTGTGTATTATTATTGATTACTACACTCATTTTATAATTGTTGGAAATTATATATGTTTGATAAAATTTGACGAAAAGAAAAATCTGGTTTTGAACTTCCGATATTCCAGTACTGTGTAGCTTATTATACCCAGAATAAAAAACACTTGTGTTGATGGTGACTCTAAAATTCCCGTTGTGAACAAGTCCTTCGCCCAGTTCGTCAATTGTATCTTTTGGTAGAAACTCTCCTAAATGTTGTTGACTCATTTTGTTAAAGTAAACCCACTTGTTGGGGTAGTCGAATAATGTCAGTCACAGAACTTACAAGAATAATATTACCTCATGAGCTTCTTTTAAATGTGTCGGTTGAGTGTGTTTATGTCACTTTACAAGACTCATTATTGTCGATACAAGACCATTAATAATATACCTAATTTCCCATTTTTCATGGGGAATTTTAGATTCCTTGTATTACTTCCATATATAAACCATTAAACTTGTATGTTGGGTAGTAAGAAATGATGTAGTAGTGCAGTTTACTGGTTTTTAAAATCCAAAAAGTATAAAGTATAAGAAAACTGGGTGGAGGTTTTTGTGTAAGTAAAGGGAGAAGAGATGATGGAGGAATGAGAAGCGAAAATTGACCCGGCGGCTATATGTGCATGAGATGAAACACCTTTGGAAATTTGGCCGGGAATGATACAATGATTCAACCAAAGATACTTTTGCCGCTGGAAAAAAGCCACTCCCTTTAATTCCCACTGCTTAAATCAATAACCTCTAACTTTCTCATTTCTCATCATTAAGCTTTTTTAGCCTTTGACAACTCACTCCCTAAACACACATAACATAACCCTATTAATCAACCCTTCAAATGCACCACAACTAACCTTTCTTTTCTTTTCTTTTTTTACATTTTTTTAGTAGCTTTTGTTTTATTTGGTGTCACATAAGTGTGTGTGTGTGTGTGTGTGAGAGAGAGAGAGAGTGAGAAAGAAGTTGAACGAAGGTGCTGAATATTGAAGTAACCGGAGAGTGTAGGAAGAGAATATGTTTTTGAAGGAAATGGGTCCGGAGAGCATCATGGGACAAAGGCCCACACTTGATCTCGATGAATCACTATCTCTTGTAGTGACAACCATCCGTAAGCAGCAATTTTGAATTTTAGGGTTGCTCTTTATTGAACATCCCAAGCTTTTTCGTTGATATTGTATCCAACTATGACCCCATCTAATCATCCAAACCAATCAAACCATACCACACTCCATTGCCAATGTCAATCCTACCAGCATCCTGCGTCGCGTAACTTTACATTATATATTCCTCTCTCTAACTTCAAAAAATGTCGCTATCAATTAAGGCCCAATACATATATAAAAAATATTCGTACCCTCATCTCATCATGATGTTCATAACAATATGTAAAATCTCGCCATAATAACACAACCAAAATTATATCCATTTCAGACTCGTAAAATCGTGAATGATGATTTGACATGCATACAAAATAATGTATAATTTAATATTGACCTGATTGTCTACAGCTATGACAAAAACAACTTGGGTCACACAAAGCGAAAAATTCGATCGGGGTTTTTTAGTCCTTCAAACTTTATGCTCCTTTTATTTATACCAAATTCTTATCTTAAGGGTGAGAGAATTTGATTTTATTTAAATGTTTATAGGAAGAAGCGGTGAGAGAATTTGAGTATGTTCCGAAAGTTGGTATTTTTCGTGATTGAAATTCATAAGATTAATTTTTGAAAGGGTAATGTGTGTATATTTGGTATGGTCCGGTGGCTTTTGAGATATGGCTTTACAAATTGTGTGATCCGATGCTTGAGGGGAAGAAAGAATCGAGAAAAGTGAAGTGAGGATGGTAGCTTTGCATTTATTTATTTATTTTATTTTTTGTTTACTGTGTGTAGAAGATGCAAATGAATAAAAAAACAAAGACAAATGTCAACTTTGTTTTGATGCATGAGTCCAATCTGTGAGAGAGAGAGAGAATTATTAGAAAGGAGGGGCGTGATGGCCAGCTAGCTATAAAAGGGAGGACCCACATTCCCAATTGCTGTCCCGACAGGGGCCTCGGGTCTCGGCCTCACGTAACCCAGGTCACCCAGAGTCACCCACCTGCAAACTGTTCATCCTCTGAATTAATCTGAATTTTTCACATTCCATACGCTTCGTGCTACCACTACTACGCTACTACTCCTTCATTTTCCAATTTTATATTCTACAATGTTTATAAATATTACACAACTATCTCTTCACTTTTCCAAATTATTATATCTATATCCTGTTTTTCAATCACGTATTACATCTTCTATTCTCTGATTGTTGGGGTTCAATGTCCAAGGACTATTAAATATATAACAAATTGTACAACTCGACGCCATGGACACAATCCAAAATAATGTTGTTCATAAAAACACAGTGAAGAAAACGAAAACATCACTTACAGTTTCCAAAACTTTAAACATGAAAATCGTTTATGAAGATCAAAATGTGCTTCAGGAACGAGAACAACTCTAATCATACCACAAAAGTTTTTTGTAACAACAAAAAGGAGGGGTATGGGTATAATTACGACAACCTTAAGGGGTGTTAAAATTACAAGTAACATGTTTACACACGATAGGAAATTATGGGAAATGATACTAAATTTGTAAAGTATGAAAAAATGTTATTTTGATATATATATATATATATATATATATATATATTTGATGTTGGCACTACGTCAGCAACATTGAAGGCCACTGATATAAGCTGGGCGCAGCACCTGATCAGCACCTTCATAGCCACTCCCACTCCACTTCTGCAGAACCACACTGCACCAATCTCCTTTCTTCTACTTTTATTATTTATTTTCAAAAATCTTTCTGTGAAAGTACTTGATTACCCTCTCCCATTCTATAATTTTCAAAAAAGGTAAGATAACAATTCTTAAAATTTATTATAATGTTATATGATAATTAAGATATTAACCATAAGAATGATTAATGCATTAGTTTGATCTAACTGATCTCATGCTCTAAAGTAGACGTATAGCAAAATCACTATTGAGGCACTAGTTCCTCGTGTTCTGAATTATATTGTATTCAAAACTAGTAAGATCCATAATTCCAAAGTATAGTAAGAAAATTTTGTTGTTATATATGCATATGCATGGATAGAACGTTCTGATATAACTTGTATATACTTCAAAAGCAAGCAACTAGCTCTGGAGCTCTGCCCTGTTTTTCCAGTCTTTCACTCAGATTGTCAGAAACAAGAGGTGAAGCGAAGTAAGATTCTTCGCACCATTAACTCTCTGTGTCCTCTATGTCTTTCCATCAACTCTTTTCTCCTTAGTTTCCAATTAATATCTAATTTTTAGTTTCTGTCATTAAGGATATTTTTAAGTTAACAATATATCATAATTAATTCTTGATAATGTATGCCATGTAATTTCCAAGTCAAACCCTAATTAGTAATTATTACATAATAACATAATTTAAGTGTGCCTTGTTGTTGTTGTCCACCTTCCACTCAGATTTGCTCTAAGAATCCAAACTTACCAACTAAAATTCAAACGGAAAAGGGCAAGAAAAACCATGTCCTTAATAAATAGGACTTATGGTGACATGGTTTTTCCTCTTATTCTTCAGTTAACATTTAAAAACTAATTTGTTTGAGACATGGATATTAGTGAAGAGAGTTCTATCTTTCTTATAATAGTTAAGAATTTTGTGTAATCTGCACAAAATATTAAGTTGAAGCTTCTTTGGCATTTTTGCAAAAGAAAAAAATATTAACCCTAATTAATATGCTCACGACAAGTAACTACTTATTACTAATCTAAAGGTGACGCCTCCAGACATCAACATCGTGGCAAATTCATGAATAATTGAACAAACAAATCACTGTTTACGATTATCATTATGCTTGCTGCTAATGCAATGAATTGACAAATTTTTCTATCCCCAAGCCGAAATTTTTTCGAAAGAATAACATTTGAAATTATTAAATATTAAAAGATCTTTGTAATTTTTTTCTCTATCTCTAATGCTCTTTCCGTTTAGTTTTGTTTGACATTAAAGATTTTGCAATGAAAATCGAGGAATACGATTAATCTTTTAAATCTCATACAAAAATATTTGTTGTTTGATTGAAATTATAAAATGATAATAAAAATGGAATAAAAATTCTTTTTAAAAATGCCAAAAAACAAGACAGAGGCAGTGAAAATATACTAGCAAGGTGTAATTACATTAGCTGATAAAATATAATTCATTGTATGAATGAATTGAGTGGACCATGAAATGGGTAGTCACGAAAGAACATGAATTGAAGCAAGAATTACACAAACAACATAAAGAAGATAACAACTCGTCTCCCTGCTATCATGATTTTATACATTCGTAATTATTCATCTCTTCTTTTAATGATTTCAATTTCAAAAAGCAAATTAACGTTCGAAGTTCGAAAATTCCCCTACCGATAACTTTCATCCTCCTCTAATTGACTTCAGAACCATAATCACTCACACATCATGGTAGCAGTATTAGGGCCTTTTAATTTAAATACTATAATTTTCTTTTATGAAAATCAAATTATCCTTGACAACACACGTTGAACACGATCGAGCTCTCACCGAAGTAGAGTTGGAAGAAAAGGAGTAATTGCGAAGAAATTAATTTCAATTGCATTTTACCAAACTTGAGTGAAAAGTAAAAAATATGAAAGAAAAAAAAAACGAGGATGTTGTGGTATAGTGATAAGGAAACTTTTGTTTCCTTCACAAAAATAAATAAGGAAAGTAGAAATTAAGGTATAATTATTCAACGTAAAAGAGACGGGAACACGTTAATGTTGTTGTATGGAATCATTACCAAAAGTCAAAAAGGTGGCATCGGAGACACTATACACGCGTCAGCAAGACAAACTCGGCTGTCTTCCATTCGTCATTTCACTTTATACCACGTGTCGTCCATTCATTAGCCAATCAAACATCATCATAATAACCATAAAAATAATAATAACAATACAACATACACATTAACAATGGTTTTGTATGTTTTATGGGCTTAGGGCTTAGGCATACTCCCAGAAACACTCCAACCCCACCCTTCTCACTGTACTGAAGAAGGACACAGAAGGAAGCAGCATAAAGCGATGGAGAGAGAGGGATAACACATTACCTCACCACACTAATACTATTGCCATTACTATCACTAATGCTAAACAAAGAGAGAGTGAGAGAGAGTTCATTTCGTTTCAATCTGAATAACAAGTGAATATCTCTCGTAGTGTCGTACACCATACACCACACGCATACATTTGTACACAGACATGGGACCATTTCCTGCGTTTAAATTTTGATCTTTTTCGTGGACGACAGGATCCGACTCTGCCGCTTAACTCTCTTCCCTCTCTATATCATCCTTTTCTCCTTCCCCTTTTATCTCTCTCACTCTTCTTCTTCTTTCTTTCTTTCTTTCTAACCTTCTCATATGGAAATGGAGGACCATCATCATCACCATCACCATCATCATCAACATCATGACCAGCAGCAGCAACAACAGTATGGCATCACTGATCTCAGGCAACTCATGAACGGGCCGAGGTCGAGCCATTTCCCCTCCATGCCGCCGCAGCCCAAGGCGGAGCTGTTCCCCGGCGGCCACCCCAACCTGGCCGCGACGCAGCACTTCGAGATGATGATGTTTGGTCGTCAAGTGGCGGACATAATGCCTCGGTGTCTTCATGACTTTGCCTCTACCGATTCCGCCACGAATAATAACAATACGAGCATCGCTGTTGCCACTCCCACTACCACCACTAGTGCCTCCACTCCTCCGCTTAGTTGCTTAGAGGGTGAGACCGTAGGATGCATCGGTGGAGACGCCTCCACTGGAAGATGGCCCAGACAAGAGACTCTCACTCTTCTTGAGATCAGATCTCGCCTCGACTCTAAATTCAAAGAGGCTAATCAAAAGGGTCCCCTATGGGATGAAGTTTCTAGGTAGGTACCATTCTTATCTTCTTCTATTTCAAATAGTACTCCTTCGCTTCTCTTTTCAACCTTTTCTTTTTCCTCAACTTGAACATCTCAAAATGATAATTGTTTGTTTCTTTGGGATTGAAAACTAAAAGCAATGAAAACATGAAAAAGAGTGGACAAAACAAACAGCTAAATTTAAATATCTGTGTAACTACCTTCTTGACGGTTTCCTACTAACATGACTGCATTTAATTGGTTTTAATTGGGTGACTAGTAGTGACACTACTTTCTGGAAACTCTGATAAAAATATATTATGGCAGTAATTGTTGGAGGTGACTACACAATATAAACTGGTAGTCTCGCTACTCAATTTTCGATTATTGATCGTGTACTTCGAAGTGCTTTGAATTCATATACCAAGATTAGTACGTCTCTACCACTGTCCCTTTTTCCCTTTTAGAAATTTCCTAGCCTCTTCATGTGCAAGTGCTACCTTCCCCTTTAATACTAGTTTTTCCCTACACAAAATTCATTCAACCTTAAGCTTTTGCAGCTACTTATCTTAATTCTAGCTCTTATCTCGTGCAATCAAGCAGGCTCTTCCTTCAATGAATCATATTTCTTTACCAATTCCAATGGTCTTTTGCTATAACTAGGTTGCCATAATAGCATAGAGAACGTCACTGCATGACATTGCAAAGTTTTTCTTTTTTTATTATTGTTATTGTTATTATCATTATTATTATTATTATTATTATTATTATTATTATTATTATGAAAGCTCACATCATTCACAGCACAGACTAGGGTTCCATGTTTCATCACCTACGTTGAGCTCAGTTTAGCCTTTTTTATTCTTGTGTTAATGTTGAAGGATCATGTCTGAAGAACATGGATATCAAAGAAGCGGGAAGAAGTGCAGGGAGAAGTTTGAGAACCTGTACAAGTATTACAAGAAGACAAAGGAGGGAAAAGCAGGAAGACAGGATGGGAAGCATTACAGGTTCTTTCGTCAGCTTGAAGCCTTATACGGTGAAAACAGTAACCAAGCATCGGTGCCAGAAACCAATTTTGGCAGTAGCAGCCTTCGTTTCCACGCAAGCATCCACAACCCTTCTCAAACAAATCAAGAAATGTTTCAGTCTCAGAAGCATTGTGATAGCCTAAGTCTCACCAACTCCACTGATTTAGACACGTCATCATCGGATGACAATGATCAGAATAGCACTGGGGGACTCAAGGACAACGACTCCATGGAGAAGAGGAGAAAGAGGGTGAGTGGAAGAAGCTGGAAGGTGAAGATAAAAGACTTCATTGACTCACAGATGAGGAAGCTAGTGGAGAAGCAAGAGGAGTGGTTGGATAAACTCACGAAGACACTGGAACAGAAGGAAAAGGAGAGGGTGTTAAGAGAAGAAGAATGGAGGAGACAAGAAGCTGTAAGGTTGGAGAGGGAACACAAATTTTGGGCTAAAGAGAGAGCATGGATTGAAGCCAGGGATGCTGCTTTAATGGAGGCTTTGCAAAAATTAACAGGAAATGAGATTATAAAGAGTACTCAATCTCCCGAGGGTCTAATGGTAACTGGAATTCAAAACCACAGTGAAAACCTGAATGAAGATGGGAGTGAAATACTAAATAGTACAACTGCCAGGGGTGCTGAAAGCTGGCCTGAATCTGAGATTACAAGGCTTCAACAGTTGAGAACTGAGATGGATACAAGGTATATACAAAGTGGGTGTTCACAAGAGATTATGTGGGAGGAAATAGCAACCAAAATGGCTTGTTTTGGTTACGAAAGGAGTGCTTTGATGTTCAAAGAAAAATGGGAAAGCATCAACAACTACGCAAGGAATGCTAAGGATGGAAACAAGAAGCGCAAGGAAGAGTCTAGAGGTTGTTTCTACTTCGATAACAGTGACCAGTCTTCTCTGTATAACCAAGGAGGGGCCTATTGTGATATTAATGATCAAAGGCACGAGACTGGGAGGCTGCAAAATGATGGTACTTCACCTTCCAATTCAAACGTTGGAAATGCAGTTGCTGGTGACAACTGTTTTCCCTTCTTGATGAATGAGGGTGCAAACTTATGGGAGAACTATAGCTTAAAGGTTAATAAAGCAAGCCAAAACCAGTGATGAGAGTGAGCTAAGGTTGACACTCGTAAGAGGCACGAAAATTTCACAGCCTTTTATCTGAGATGATCTCACGTTATGTAAGCAAGAGCTAACTAATGAGGGTCATTTATGTATAGAGACTGATGATGATAAAGTGATCAATCTTATTATATTTATGGGAATCAAGGTAAAAAATAATATGTTCAAGTCACGTACGTAAAGTTTAAGGAGGAAAGGCTAGACATTGGCGAATATCACTGAATTATCGGGGTATGAGTATGACATTAATTCAGGTGAGTTTCTCTTGTAGCAGGTTTCTTTTATGCGTACAAATGGACTTTGCAATTGTATTACTTCACATGTTGCATCTTCCAATGATGTTTATATCACCAGTTGATCACCTTCTTTCTCCTTCCACACCCATTTTTTTAGTTATTTTTGGATATTTATCTGTGCGGGACTTTTCTGTTTTGTGTACTGAAGGCTGTAATTAAGGTAGCAATTTCTTTGGTTTTATTTATTGGTCAATATTTTTACGAACGAGGAGAAAGTTATGTATTGATGGATATTGTTTAAGCGTGGGACATTACTCCAAGCTTAAGAAAAAGGACTGATTTTCTTTGTGTAGTGTCCTTTGAATTAAAGGACCAGCTTTGTACATACGCAGAAAATTGCTGGTTCAGACTAGGGGACTAAACTATCACATATCGGGTGTTTTTTTCTTGTTTTCTTTTTCACTTTACTTTGCATATCAATTAACTCGAACTTAGTAATTTAATATAATTTTATTAGCCAATAAATACTTAAATAAGAAACTTTTTAGATTCGTCATTGAGCTAGGTTATATTGCAGCCTTGCGTGCGCACTACTATTGGGGCACATTAAACTAAAGAAAGTATTTCATATTCCTATTATTGAATTTTAAAAGATTATAAAAATGAAATGCATTATTATGCCTGGAAAAGGATTTCTTTTTTCAAAGACCCTACTAAATTCAAATTTTACAGGTCTTGCAAACTATGCCAACTTGTCACAACTACACTGATCCTAGAGATTTGGAAAAAAAAAAGAAAAAAAAAAGACATTTCATAACAGCAACGTTTTCTGTTGTTTGGCTTACTTAACCAGAATGAACCAAGACTTAACCCCAACCCGATCCAAACCTTATTAATACTTCAACAGCGCACTCAAGTGGCAAAAGTGGTGGGTGATTGCAAATGAAGTTTTCTATTATACATTGGCTAAAGCTATATATTTTGTGATAAAAGAAGAAAAATACAGAAAAGTTCAACTAACATCAATATATATATATATATATATATATATATATATATATATATATATATATATATATATATATTCCAACCTCTAGTAGAACATCTTTGTACTATTTAGCTTGTTAGGTCACTAACCTGACCATACTATTTGCCGGTTTGTACAGAAGGATCAATAAATGTTATTCAGCAAGTAACACGGGAATTCTCTATAGCCATACAGTTCTTGGTTTTATTGTATGGTCCTAGTTGGTTGTGACATGGAACAAGAGAGAAGCAAAATCCTTGACTGTAGTGCATTCACCTCTTTTATGGTATGTTTTTGCATGAGAAAACATTGATACATAACAAGTTGACATATAATGTAGCAGAGTCCAGTTCAATGTCCAATTAGGCTTCCATTTAAGCATGCTTAATTGCTTACATATTCCTACGTCATTAACGGACTTACGAAGCTTGTCCTGCCATTTGTACTCAAAGTGTAGGCATATATATATATATATATATATATATATATATATATATATATATATATATATATATATATATATATATATATATATATATATATATATATATATATATATATATATATATATATATATATATGAGAAAATAGAAAAGGATTTTAAGACAAAAATTGTGTAATAATTTGAGTTTTGGGAGTTTCCTTGAATAAGTGGGGAATAAGGGGTACCTTAGGTTGCAGATATGTGAGGCGTTGAGGTTAGACCTTCCTACATATATAACAATGAGTGTACTGGACCCGGCGTGGCGTATGCTATTGAAAGGTGAATCAACCATTAATACATGATAAAGCGATGAAAGTGAAACAGCCCACACCCCAAAATGAAAACTTGTATTTTATAGTTTTTGTTAGAGAAGTGAGTGACAGTAGCATGACATGTACACAGGGCCTTATCTGCAGTGTAAGTATTTTGTTGCATTTTAGGGGTATGTGTTAGTGGCACTGTTACCGCTACTACTACACACATACATACACATATGCATAAATATTACTGATACATCTTACGCTCCTGGACAGACAGTATCCGTACCTGGGAAAGAGTAAAGAAGTTTCCTGCTAAAGGAAAACCAAATGCAAGGGTTGGGGAGACATTTTGGCAGTCATTATCATAACACACACAACTCAACTTTGGTTTCTCTCTTCAACCCTCCTCCTTCCTTGCTTTGTCTTCACGCTTCTTAGAGGCAGTTAAGTAATTAGGTAGTCAAAGGAGCCAAAATCCCATCACGTGTACAATAATGGAAAGATGATAGCAAATTAAAGTGTATATATATAACAATGTGCATATATATAACAATGTGCTTTTTCTCTGATGCCCCTGACGTGACTACTTAGCCTCACACCCTGCACCTCAAGAAAAAAAAAAAAAAAAAAGGGGCTTATGTACTAGTCTGGAATCAAGATGGGAAACTCTGGCTTGGGGGAGTTGCTTTTAATTGTTTAGGGCTGTAAAAGGTAAGCTTTATCCATCTCACCCTTAGTTAAAAATACGCAATCAGGTTCTGACTTCTCAGTGGCAGCTAGAGGGAAAGTGCTAAAGGGATGCTTCCTCATATATTGGTGTCTATATAAAGTTTATTAGTAGGCTAGGCCAAATATAACTACCCTATCGTAGCCACTAAATTAAATAACACATGGCCAGATTCAGACCTTAGCATTTTTCTATTTGCTTTTTTCTACTTGGGGTGGAGAGACTGCATTGCATGATTGAGTGAACATCTGTCAAGGATACCTAATTAATGTCCATCTCTTTTCCATTTCTCAAAATGGGATGGTTTAGGGTGGATAATGGAGAGAGTTAAGGAAGAAAAGAAAAAAGATTGATACATGTTACATGTAAATATGATTAAGAAAAAAAGAGATAGATAAAATAATGGAGTAAAAATAAAATATAAGAAAAACTGAGTGAATGGATATAACTTTCCTGATACTGTTTTGAATATAAACTCTTGAGATGAATGCTCCTTGTTTCAGCTTTTGTTTCTTGGTCCAGGTTCCTTTGGTTTTATTTTGTTCTAGGATCCTTGTTTTTGTTTAATTTCAACAAGGATGTGGACTGTTTTGTTTTATCTGACAGATTTTTTTCACACCTTAATCCAAAATGCATGAGAATCCTAGTTATGTTACAAAGTATATTGCTCAAATATGAGGTTCAAGACGGGTTTTCGGAATCTACAAATGGCATGGGGTCTCGCGCTAGAACTATTTCCATTCAGAGCTTCAATTCTTTGAGCTCGTTCTCTGCCTCCACTAGTTCCATTTCTTGGTATCACTTTCTATGTGTGTCCCTTGGCACAAATATCATTCACCAGAAAGAGATCGATGACCATGGTTTCTTTTAAGGAGCTAGTATTCCAGAAGCTTTTTTTTTTTTTATGTGTTTGGAATACAAATTATACTTTGAATGGTTTAGGAAATTCTATTTTGTAATAATAATTTTGTTATAGGATTATGCATTCTGAAATGTATTCCGCAATTTTTATTTTATTCCGTATAACAATTTTCAGATAATTTCAGCATTTTTAAAGGTTATTTTTGTCCTACTACCATAACAAGAAGTTGCAAGAAATTATTGTCAAAATTTGGGTCATGTATATATATGATATATAATTTAAATGTGTTAAAGTCATTATTTATTAAGCCAAATAATAAAGTAATCTGACTAAATTAAAAAGTTTGGCTAAAGACATATGTCATGAAAATAAAATTATGCAGAGACCATAGAATAATTTATAATTTGATGATGGGTCAAATTAAAAATACTAAAACTTAAGTAATTAACCTAATTCTGATTATTTTAAGGGGTCATGGTCCCCTTCTGGGAGCACATAGACAGAACATAAGTCTCAGTCTCGTTCCTTTCTTTTTATCCCCATCAAGAGAGAAAATCCAGAGGGAAATACAAGTGCTCTTCAGGTGGAAGACCATAAGATCAATAGTGTTTTACAAGGATATCATCATTATGGCTGATTCAGGTACGCTTTCGCATTCAGTTTACAACATGTATATCAGTGTGGGATTACGTTTATGTTTGATAGTTAGAATCAAAATCAGGATTATAATTATTATTAATTTTCCAACAATTGGTATCAGAGCCGCCCATACTTGATTCATGTCTGTCTTAGGAAAGATTTAAAAATTCAGATTCTGTTTAATTTATAAAATCTCAATTACTGTGAACCCTAAAATTTAAATTTGGGGATAACATCCCCAATCTTCTTCGTTTTTCCCTTTTGTTTCAGTTTAAGTTTCAAGTTTTAGTGAGAAAGAAATAGTGTTTCAAATTTTAATCTTTCATGTATTAGGTTCTTTGTTCTCCTTGAATCTTTTGTTTTTGTTTTTATTTAATTTTTTGGGTTTTGTTTTCGTTTTCTTTTCATGGTGGATATGGATGGGTTTGGAATTGGAGGTGTTTGGGGAGTTCCCAACACAGAGGATCTTAGGTAACTGGTGAATGTTTCCACAGGTGTGGCTGTTATTATTTTATTTCCTTTATCCTCTAGAGATTTTAAGGGAAGTTGATGTTAAATTTCCTGTTTAGAATTTGAGTGATTACTGTTTAATCCCCTTTTAGGGTTTAAAGCAGTGTGTTAAAAGACTCAGAACTACCTCTATTTCATCCCTAGTATGATTTTAGGGAGATGTTCATCCTTTATGTATTGGTGGAAAATGAGGTGTTTTTCATCCTTTGATTTGTTCTAGGGAGGTGTTCATCCCTA